TTGGCTCAGAACGAGATTTCTCCATATGGTTCCATAGAATCGAGTTCATTGTTCGAAAATATTCCAGTTCATGATGCAGATATACTCAAATCGATCGATCTAACAGATAAAGATACAATGATCACTAAGTTTATTAATGAAAAAAGAGAAAAAATTATGGCATTATTTAATGAAACATTAAATCATCCAGATTTTAATTCATCCACTCCAATTCAAACTAATTTTGAGCAAGCCGATACAAATCAAGGTTCAGATGCTCCAATTCGCTCCGAAAATTCAAATATTGCAGACTCTACAGATTTAGAACCAGAAAATCAAAACCATCCTTCTACAAATCAAATGTCTAGTAATCTAGAACATAAGCTGGACCTTCTTGATCATATTGAAAAACAATTATCGAAAATGCGCTCGTTATTGGGAATTCTTCCTACTACAAATGCTATTGTTGGGCCGTCAAAACAAGTTTCAGTTAATAGCAAGCAAAATTCTGAAAAAAATAAGAAAAAATCTTCCATAACAACAAAATCAAACAATAAAAAACAAAATTCATCCGACAATCCTCCTAAACGTAAAGCTCCTATTTCGGAAAGGATTCTCAGCGATAATAACTTATATTTTCAAGTTCATCGAAAGAGATCGAAAAGCAAACGTTCCACATCTACAGAGAAAAATAATTGATATATGAAGTCTAATTCCTTTTATAACTACTATATTTTTATTCTTATGACTAAAAAATAATATATTATTTAACAATTTTCATTTTTTTCTTTTAACAATTTCGTTTTATTTCCATTTATTGTTAAATGATTTTTAGCATACACCTTTCTTTGTTCATCTTCTAAATACAATTTATTTTTTCTTAGATATAATTCTATTCATTCAATTCGATCGTCATTTTTCAGTACATGATCGTAATTTTCAATTATTGATCGCGATTTTACTTCAGAATTTGTTCGCAATATTGCTTATCAAAATTATATCTCTATTCTCTCATTTCTGTTTAGTCAATATCATTACACTTAAGGGTTTCGTTTTGCGAAAAAAACGTACAATACGCAATTTCGCTAAAAAACATTTAGCTAGCAATTTCGACCTTTGACTCCACTCAAGACGTCACTTTTTTAATTTTGCGGTATCATATTTTTGGAAAATCTTTATGAATATTATATAAAAAGTCTCTTTAATATCTATATTTCATATTTTTATCGATTTTTAAAGTTTTTGCGAAAAGTATTCAATTATTTTTGCTATTTGGTCGGGTAAATGTCAGATTTGCGACATTTTCTGATATGATATTCAGATTCTACGTTGATAATAATGCTTATAGTGTTGTAAACAGAAATTCATCAAAAGTGACACCTCAGAAAAGCTAAAATATTGAATTTTTGGAACTTTTGATAGAGCACGTTTTTAAATATTAATTAAAGTAAATGTATATTTTGTACAGATTCTTTTTAATAAAAAATAAAATTTTGAAGAAGAACACAAAATCTTCTGAAAAATAATATCACATAAACTCATATATTTTCTAATATATAACTATTTTATATAAAAATCAAATTCAATGATCTTAAAAGCGAAGGATAAACCTCAAAATTTACGAATATAATGAGTGGGAATATAATGTTTATCTATCATAAAACCATATGAAATATCAATTTTTGCTTTACGCCTAATTTTTGACGACAATTAGCAAAAAATGTTAAATGTTAACACTCAGTCCATTTGAATATGAAAAATAAAATTGACTTTGATTAAATGTTTTATTTATCATGCAATTCTTCTTGCGACAAAGATTTGAATAAAATTTCAAAAAATAAGATAGCTTAAAAATAATATACGGTAGTGTTTACTAATAGATGAATAGTATATAAATTCTATTAAAATGGATTTGATCCAAAAAAATATAAAACCAAAAATAATTGTTATAATTTAAATGAAGAAGTAATTTAAAACGATTTTATTTATGATATCAAATTTTTATATTTTTTTGGATCAAATCCATTTTAATAGAATTTATATACTATTCATCTATTAGTAAACACTACCGTATATTATTTTTTAAGCTATCTTATTTTTTGAAATTTTATTCAAATCTTTGGTCGCAAGAAGAATTGCATGATAAATAAAAACATTTAATCAAAGTCAATTTTATTTTTCATATTCAAATGGATGAGTGTTAACATTTAACATTTTTTGCTAATTGTCGTCAAAATTAGGCGTAAAGCAAAAATTGATATTTCATATGGTTTTATGATAGATAAACATTATATTCCCACTCATTATATTCGTAAATTTTGAGGTTTATCCTTCGCTTTTAAGATCATTGAATTTGATTTTTATATAAAATAGTTAGATATTAGAAAATAATATGAGTTTATGTGATATTATTTTTCAGAAGATTTCATTCTATATGCCTATGAAAAGTACTCTCAAAACTAACTTTTTCCTAATTATAATTAAATCTAGAATATTGTATTATGCTTAGTATTATTTCATTTTTCTCATTCAATTTAGAATTTACAAATGTCAAAAAATTGAGAGCTGTCACTTTTGATGAATTTCTGTTTATTACAATAGAACCCTCTTGCTATTGTGTCAAAATTGCGAAACCGATAGCAAAAATATCTCGCAATATCAAAATTGAGATATTGAGTGAATTATGCATTATAGAGATTAAAATCTGATTTGTGAAAACATCTCATCAGTTTCTAGCTAATTCAAAAATCTTTACTATCTTATTCGATTAAAATGAAAAGGGAATAGTTTCATTATGCTTTAAATGACAGCCTTATAATATAATCATAGTTTTCGCTCAATATGCAGCATTTTTTTTCGAAATCTATGGTCAATATCCTAAATACTGATTGCTTTGCATTCATATCTCTTACATTTTCTATACCCACATCACTATTCATTGCTATTCCTATCTTTTTCATTTTTGTTTGTTTCTCATAATTTCTCAAAAAACATGATAACTTGATATTTGTAAATATCATACTTTATAACGTAAATAAGAACTTGACCTATTAAGAAAAGCAGTAATGAAAAGAAAATCTGAAATTCATAAAAATTACAAGTTTCTGATGACAATTAGCTTAATTAAACCAGGTACAAGATTATATAATTGTATTTTCTATCCAATTATCCATATAATATCTTATCCAGAAAAAATAACTTGATCAATACAAATGATTTTTTAACTAGTAAATAAAGTATTTTCTTTACACACACATTGTATATCATAGTTTTTTTTTTGGTTTCGCAAAACATCCAAAAACAAATATGCTATAAAAGTGACAATTTTAGCAAAACGAAACCCTTATTACACTCCTATTGTCTAATAACATGCTATTAATTTTCTTAAAATTAAAAAAAAATATCAACTTTTAAAAACAGAAACTTAACATCCTTAGGTCAATGGATTTTGATGTGAGATACATTTAATCTGTTTTTCTTTTTTTATTTTAAATAATTGAATATTTATAGTTGTTATGGGTCTTACATCATGTAAAACGAATTTTCTTAAAGTAAATTTACTTTTTCTTCAATCTTTCTTACATATTTATTAAAAAAAAATTATCCAAAAAAAGATGTTTTAGAATGAAAAAAAATAGAAAAATCTTCATTTATAGTCTTTCTTGAATGTATACGTTTTGATTTTTTTCTTTTTTAAAAAATTCAATTTCTAGAAAAATCGAGAAAAAATCATTTTCTTCTATTTTTTTAGGACGCCATACCCATTGAAATCTCTTCTCAGGACGCCATAAACTATTCAATTATTGTGTAAACTTCTCAAAAATTGAATAGTTTACATCAGGACGCCTTAGGACGCCAACCCTTTACGCGCCCAATATGACTCATCCTTGAAATTGCGAAGTAATGTTTTTCACCGAAGTTAAGTGTGTATATTATTTTTCCCCATATAATGCATGTTTTTATGTTCTGAAAGCAGAAAAGCTTTTTTGGAATGTTTTGATTCAAAATAATATGGAAAAAGCAGGTTTAAATGAGGAAATAAGTGATTTATTATATTAACATGCAGAGTATAATATAAAAATGAAAAACTATATTTGCGATGGGCAGATAACTAGATTATCCACACAATAAACTTTTGACTCGTTCTCTAGCCAGTAATGAACCAAAAAATCACAACTACATTAACTTATGTTGAAGTTCTCTGTATTTCTATCTTCAAATGAGGGTTATCCAGAGAACTTCAACATTAATGAATTACAGAAGAGTTTTCTCGCTAGCTATAGCTATAGGCTATAGATAACAAATATATTGCCTTGATACAGAGTTATTCCGAGGATTCTCGTTGAATAAGAGACTTCGGAATAATTCTGTACTATTCGATCAATTACAGGATCTCTAGCTCATTGTGAACCAGAGAGTAGTAGTAAGACTATCTTATGGCAATATACTTCCGAGACATTTTATCGAATTAGAAACTTCGCAAGAATATTGCCCAATTCGAGTAATTAAAGAACTCCTAGCTCTTTGGGGACCAGGAGAGTGAAGTATAGTGCATGGGGCAATAACCGAAAACTAAAATCTCAAGAAACACAATACTTAAGCAAAAAAACTACTATTTCATTACAGCCAGCTCGTGCAAGTATTTTGCTTCTGACTTGCAGAACTTTCATGGATGGACAAGTGGAAATCTGATGCCGGCAATAATAGAAATAGAGTTATAATTGTTATTTTTATTTCTAATATAAATTTCTTATCTCTAACATTAAAATTTTCTACCTATTGAAAGCCTGCGTAGCATAGTGGTTATTGCGTGCGCCTTGTAAGCGCAAGGTCGCCGGTTCAACTCCGGTCGTAGGCAGAACTTTTTCTTTTTTTATCATATCTGGAAATTCATTTTGATATCTTTGGTCATTATTATTTCGAAATGGTTTCTAAATGTTTGCAAATTTAAACAATGTCTTTATCAAAAATTACTGAAATTTAAATAAATTTTTATCAAAAACAAACAGGATATAATATATTTAATGTAAAGAAACCATGTACTTCTTGATAGCTTTTTCATCCTCGTAAACTCTTTGCAATGCATCAATTAACGTTGGAAAGAGATATCCTGAAAAAATATGTCTATGCAGTGGGCCTGATTGGGAGCCCATCTTGATGTATTTTTTAATAATTGGTGTTACAGTACTATAATTGAAAGAGCTTGTTGAATATATCAAAAACTTTTCAGACTTAGCCATGTCATCTAATATCTTAACAGCAATTTCTATGCTTATATCTGAAGAATCGCCACAAGCTTTGTCTAATTTGCTTTGCGCAGATGAAGTCAAAGCTTTACCATAAGCATTATCTTTTTTGAAATAAAATACAAGATTAGATGTAGCAACGACACTTTGTTCAGCTTGTGGAACAATTCGCTTGAAATCACTCCAAGCAAACTCTTGATTCTCCATACCTTTATATACAAAAGTCTTTTCTTTGAGATAAACATCATCAAATATGGGGTTTTCACTTGATGTAAACGAAACACTCGAATATATATAATCGACTGCTTTTGGCTTTGACTTTTTTGGTTTTGGAGATTCAATGCGTGGAGGAACGTATAAAGATTTCTTTGGTGTTCGAGGAACATTCATACACATAACACTGAGGATTGAAGAAGTGCTGACTTCTGGAGATGAAGGTGCTGTAAAAAGATCATTTGAAGAAGATTTCCAGATTGATGCCAAGCCAGAATCGCCTGATAATGGTGTAATAGTCCTCAAATTGGGGCTTGTCGGAACTTCAAATGACATTAAAGACATTTTCTCGTTTTTTTAATAATGATTACACAGAAGCCCGCCAATATTTCGCGCGCAAGTCTTCTCAAATTTTCGATCAAAGATTTTTATTTTTTGTAAACGTGCACTTTTGGCGCATAATTTTGCGGGAAAAAAATTATCATGAAATAATTAGAAAATCTTGTAGAGAAAAAGGTAGAATACTAAAATATTATAGAAATTTTGTGAAAATTTGATGAATTTGCAAAGTCAACTAATGAATTTGAAATTTGACCGAGTGTAGCATGAAATCTCGTATCACTATATCTTAGAATAATAAATCTGAAGTCCGTTTAAACTGAAATCCCTAAATAAAATGGAATCTCATCAGCTGAACGTTATTAATTTCGCATTTCTTGTTTACCATCTGGATATATTATCTGGATTTCTTATGCTGTTAGGATTCATCAGATCCACGTTTTGAAAAGGTACCTGTAATTTTTTGTGTTGGCTAATAAAATTTTCGATTTAATGAATGGATTTAGATTAGCCAAGGTAACGTAAAATATATATATATATTTCTGAAAAGTAAAATTTATTTATCGTTGACAAAAAAAAATAAAATAATAATGACTTAGTAATGATTTTTAATATCAATCATAAGTTAATTTCTTTTCTGTCAATAAAAATCTTATGTTATTTCAAAATAAAAAATACAAATTATCATTCATATTATGATGTATAGTAGTATTCCTGATTTATGTTTTTGAATAGATTTAAAATCTTTCTATACAAGCTCACAAATATAAATTCTGAAGAGCATTCAAACACATGGATTTTATCAGAATTGGTTTCTGAAAGAATCCAAGAGTTTGTGAGCAGTTGCTAAAAACAAGTCACTACCATCATTTTTAAATAATCAATGTCTGCTACTGTACCACAAGCAAACACCAACAAGGTTCTGATCCTTGAGAACAAGAAGAGAAGATCATTTACAGTCCAAGAAGACTGTTTGCTTTCACATTTAGTTACAAATGCCGGACTTAAAAATTGGGATGAGATTGCTTCATATATTCCAGGACGTACTGCCCGTCAATGCAAGGAAAGATGGAATTCATACTTAAATCCATCAGTCAATAATGGTCCATGGACAAAAGATGAAGATAACTTGCTTTATGCTTTAACCATATGCTTCGGAAAGCATTGGGCTTATTTCACACGTTTCTTCCATGGTCGCTGTGATAACAATATTAAGAACCGTTGGTATTCAGTATTATCAAAGCGCCCACCACCACAAAGCGTATTAAACACTGTTTCACAGCACAGAGTTAATGAATCATTCCCAATGGTATGTGAGAGAATTGAAGAAATCAAAGCTCCTGCACAAAAAAGGATTGAAATGCCTTCTTATGAAGATTTAACTGCATTTTCTAACTTTGATCCAGCATCATCACCTTTTGATTGCATCGAAGAACCAATTGGTAATGATTTATCACTTGAAGCTTTTAATGTTGTTGATTTCTAATTCTATTGTTTGTAAAAAAAATGTGTGTTTATTCGTTTTAAATATATCCTTTTTTCATAGAGACAATCATTATTCCAAACGAAAACTTTCATAAAATAAAGCAACAGTAATTTTTTACAAGAAACCGTTTCAAACGGTTTTTATCAAAAGTCTTCATATGAATCAGATTTCGATATCTAATAATGATTGAACTAGCAGTGATTTGTATGTGCAATAGGAATTTAAGCTAAAAACTGTAGTTTCGTGTTTCAAATTCGATAAAAATTACTAATATTTAATAAAATAGAAATTTAAATATCCAATAGCCATTGCAATTCAAATACCAGAGCCTTTACAATATTATTAATCGGGGATAGATATAATTAATATTAATAGATACTTATTTAGCAGCATCCACTCTTTGGTGGTGGCTGATTGGTTGTATCTAAGTTTCCGACAAGTCCCTTCAATTCGGTGTCTTCCTGTGATTCAACTGCTGGCAATTTGATCAATAATCTAGCTGTTTCGTTGAAAAGCTCCTGAATGCCTGAGCCTGTGAGAGCAGATGTTTCTTTGTATAAGGAAACTTGGTTTGAGAAGGCGAAGTCTGCAACTTGTTCTGAAGTGATAACTCTTTGTGAAGTTAAATCAACTTTATTAGCAGCGCAGACAACAACGCAATCTTGCTTTCCGTGCTCACGAAGCTCATTGAGCCATTCAACAGCAGCTGGGATTGTTTCTTCACGTGTAACATCTAAAACGATGATTGCAGCGCGAGCATCTCTGTAGTACATTGGAATAAGTGATTTATATTTTTCTGAACCTGCTGTATCCCAAATATCAAGCTTAACTTGGGTATCGTCAACCATCATAATTTTAGATGTAAATGCAGCACCAATTGTAGAGCCTGCATTTGCGTTGAATGTATTGTTCTGAATTCTTGTAACGATTGATGTTTTGCCTGAGGACTGTGCTCCGAGGAGGACGATCTTCTCTACACGTGATCCAGTTTTAGCCTGACGCATTTTATAATGATCGCTTGTGGCTACTTGTCAAAATGACTGATAATTTGATTGATTTGTTTTATCCATCAATATTAATTTAAATTATGGCATTATAGACATGATTACAGATTCTTGAATGAATCGATTTTTTTTCTCAAGACATTTTCGCGTTTTGTTATGAGGAATGTGGTATATACGAGGTAAAAAATTCATTATTTAACATAGTTACTCACTCTGACATCAGCCATTCAAAAAGTTCGATTTTTTCGGATTGAAAAGGTTTGATTCCCAATCATTGTATTCTAAGTCATCGGACAACAACAAATACTATTTGATGATTTATCCAACCTAGAATTATATATTGATTCAAAATTTGAGATATTCATTCGTACAAAATGTATGATTTAAGAATCAGGAATAAAGGAAAAGGCTTTTCTATTGTAACTGGATTTATAAAAACAAATTAAAAGTGTTTTTATCTTATAATTAGTTTGCAATAAATATAATCAAAACAAATAAATAAAAATAATAATATATTATAACAAGATTGGCCTATCAGTTTCGTTCTTATAATGTCTAAGATTTGGTGAAGGCTTAGCCGGCTGAAAAACCGGAAATGCACCATAAGGTCTTGAAAGACCATCTTTAAGAGGATACGCATCATAATGTTCTCTTCCTGGTCTTGGTCTATTCTCTTCATCGTCATCATCATCTGCGAATTGTGGGTTCCTCAATGACTGAGAAGCAGTTCTAATATCTCTTTCATGTAATCTTATCATTCTTTCTGCTCTGTCATCGAATGCTTCTCCTCTTGATGATCTTCTCATGCCTTCTTCAATTTCGTTTCTTACATCTTTCTTCTGTTCTTCTAGCTGTCCTTTGAGCGCTTGATAAACAGAATACTCTGACTCTGCAGCCATTTTCTTTCTTCTCAATGCCATGGAATTTGCTCTTAATTGGCCAGATTTTGCTATCATCGATTGGTTCCTAGATGCATAAGAATCTGTTTCTTTCTCAAGTTCTGCAATTTTATCTTGTGTTTCTCTGAGTAAAATTCTTTTCTCCCAAAGTTGTTGTTCTTTCATGTTGATTCTAGCTTCATATTTAGCAACTTTATCTTCGAGTTCTTTAAGAGTGAAATCATGTCCGCAATATGATCTCTTTCTCTCTTGTTCATCTGGAACTTCGAGTTTCTTTGTGATGTTATCGACTTCTGTTTGTTCTTTACTGATTTGCATCTTCAATTCATCAATTTCACGTTGGTAAGCTTGTATTTGTGGTAACTTTCTGTTCATTAAATCGATTTGTCTCTTGAAATCATTCAATTGCAAATTCAAGAGTTTGATTTCTTCATCTCTCTTTTGTAACTCGAGTTCACCATTCCTCATAACTTCTTCGTGTTTGTTAAATTGTTCTAAAAGGATACACAAGTTATCTTGTTTGTCGATTAACAATCTCTGACGTTGTGCGCAATCTTCTGAGTGATCAGCGAATCTTCCTTGCTGTGTGGCAATCTGGTCTTCTATATTCTTTAAAACATGATCTAATCTGTCTGTTTCATTAGCTTGGAAATCGATTTTAGCTTCGAGTTCTTGGAATTTCAATTCAGCTTTCTTTAAATCGCTCTTTGTTGCATCTCTTCTTGTATAAGCTTGTAACAATTCGTTCTTCTGGACTCTGACTTGGAGATCTGTTGTTTCGAATTCGCGTCTTAAGACTTCTGTTTCGCTCTCAAGAATTCTGATCTTTTCTTTCAGTTCGACGATTAATTGTCGAGAAGTTTGGACTGTGTTGACGTGTTTGTTTCTTTCGAGTTTTACTTGTTCGTATAACTTTGAAGTATCGCCCATAGTTATCTGTAACAACTCTAATTTACGACTGAGATCGAGAAAATCTAAGTTCCTCTCTTGGGCCAAAATTCTTGCATCACTTGTCCTCTTTTTCATGACTGCGGTTTCGCGAGCCTTTCTATCTCTGATAAGAGATACTTCTGATAGCTGTTGAATGAAGTCAATTTCCTTTTGTGAAAGTGAATCGTGAATTAATTGTTTTCTGTTGACTTCTTGAAGGGCATTCTTAATAAGCTCAAGAGTTTCTGCATTAAGACTTTCACTAACAGCAAGTTGTTGTATAACTTTTTCCATATCTGACATTGTTTTCTTATATTGTGCATCAAGTTTACTCAAATTGTCTTTTTCAACAGCACTATCATTCTGAATGAGTTGCAATTGGCCGGAAAGTGACTTTTTGTCTTGCATTAAGTGAGCAATTGCTTCTTCTAGCTTAACAGATTCTTTTTCTTTTCTTACAATGTCTTTTGTGATTGTATCTGCTTTGGTATTTAATCCAGAGATCTCAAAGTCCTTTTCATCAATTTGTTTGAGAACTCTCTTCTTTTCGTTTTCTCGAATTAATCTGATTTGTCTTTGTTCATCGCATTTAGATTCTAATTCACTTGCTTTCTTCTTCATTTCGAAATATGCGTTAGTCATACCATCAATATCATTTGAGATATGCTGATATTCTGTTTCAGCATCATGAGTCTGTAAACTGAGGGTTTGGTATTGAGCTTCCAGTTGCTGTAATTGGTTAATCGCTGTCTTTTCTTCGCTGAGTAAAGAATTGTTTGCAGCTTCAGCAGCATTCGATTTTTGTTTTAATTTTGCGGGATTCGAACTGATTTCGAGCATTTTTGCGTTCTCCTCACGACGCTTCTTTTCGTATTCTGCAATTTGAGCTTCAGCAGCTGCAATTTTATCAAGCGTATCTTGATTTATTTTTAATAACGATTGTATTTGAGTACGTTTTTCTTGAATAGAAGATTCCAGTTCTTTAATTTCATCAAGAACTTGCTTCTTTTGAGGTTCCAATTTAATTCTTTGGTCCTCTTGAGCCATTTCAACTTTTCTTTCTAATTTCTCTTGATCTTTTTCTTTCATAACGGTATTTTGTTTAGTAGCAGCTGTCTGTTGTTCGGTACTATCTAATTCCGCTTGAAGATTAGTAACTAATTGTCTTAATAGTGTTAATATTTGTCGATGTTCTTGTTGTTGAGTCGCAGAGTTCTGAATTGTTAATTTTTGGGCCTTGAGCTCTTTATTAAGATCACGAGTCTTTCTTAGAAGTATTTCTTCTGTCGAACAAGACTGCGTGAAGGCTTGGTGAAGTTTATTAAACTTAAATAACAAATTGTTATAAGTATCTTGGGAGATCTGACCGGAAGAAAGGAGTTGCTTGAGGCTCTGAGTAGCTGGGTGCTCAGTCTCCTCAATTTTAGTACCTTCTTCGTAACCTTCAGTCATCACTTTAAAACAACGTAATTCGCGACGATAGAAAATTTTAACGTCATGTAATTTATTTTTATAGCTTTTCATATCTGATTTTCAAGATAAACGACATTTACCATTGACGAAACTGCCCTCTCATAGTTCCTTTCTAGTTTCATACTCGACATTCGATTCATTCTAGTTGATGAGAATACCTGATCAAATTGTCCATAAATTAAGCACTTTTATATATATGAAATAGCTTCTTTTAGCTATGAAACGAATAAATTGTAAAAGTAGGATTATAATTTGAAGGTTATTATTGAAATTCCTATATCTCCTGAGTGATATGTCTATCATCTTCGAGCATAAAGCTGACAACATTATAACAATCAACGGTTATTATGCTCACTGAAGTTTTTTAATAAAACTTTTTATAAAAATTTGTAAATCCCTATTATGTTATATAACATATAAAGTACAATGTAAAAAATTTTACTGAATAAGAAAAACAAAATAATTTTTATATTTATTGGTTTGGAGTATTAGATTTTGTTACAACAGAATGAGTCTTACAGAATGACTGCGTAGCCATCTCCATTTCTTTAATCTTTGCAATTAGTTGCTCAGAAATAGCGTTTAGATCTGCAAAACCTATGATTTGTTTCTTAATTACAGCTGTATTTTCTTCTACGACTTCTTCCTTCTTTGCGAGCTTCTTAGGTGGTTTCTTTTCATTCTTTTTCTCATTCTTTCTATCTGTTTTCATTGTATCTCTGTCTGTTTTCTGTGATTCGTCTTTTTGTCCATTTTCATCTTTATTTTCTGGTTTCGGAGCATCCTGGTTTGGATCTGTATAAACTATAATAACAGAACTTGGTCCCCATGCTTGTGTTTCGACCTGTAGATTAGAAGGAGAAGATGCAGATCCGATATACTTTCCTGTTGCAGCATCAAGGATAGATATGTTCGGAATCATAGGTGCTGTCATTCCGCAAATGTCTACATCGCATGATAATGACTGTCTGATGGAAAGATCTGATGGCATCTTATTATATGTGGCAATATATGGTCCGCATTGCTTGATTGCAATGATATCATCATCACTGCATGTATAGATCTGTCCTGAGGCCTTCATGCCGTCTAATCTATAAGCGGCAATGAAATTAAGTGAAGTACAAACAACAAGACAGTTATCGAACAGTAAAATATCGGTAATTTTGCCATGCTTGAGGAATTGGTGGCCATACAAAGCTTTGCGAGTAAGACTAAGGAAGCAAAAAGTGCCATTGTCAAATCCGACAATTAAAGTATTGGATTGTTGAACTTCTAGGTAGGATGTGACTTGTGCAGGAAGTGGGAATTCGCAGATTAAGTTCTTTTCGCCTTCCAAACTGTATAATTGCAAAATTGGAAATTCTCCGAAAATAATTACAGCAATATTTCCAAATATGCAAACACGAGGATGGAAATTGTTGATTACTTCAGGTGTTTCTGGAACTACTTCTTGCTGTGGTGATTTTGGCCGATTCTTTCCTTTTGGTGGCGGCGGAGCTTTCTTTTTAGGCGGGGCTTTCTTTTTGACTGATTCTTCTGCTGTCTTCGGTGGAGGAGGAGCCTGGGATTGAACAGGACCTGCTGTAATTGGACATTTTTCGATATCTAGAAGAGGTTCAACAGTAGGAGATTGTTTGTTTTGTGCGCCACGAGCATTGGGTGTTGCGGCGTCTGGTGTCATGTCTGCTGGCGTTTTGCAGCTGAATACTTGCAATTTTCCATTGCCATCGCAAATTACCACGCTTTGTTCGCATTTAATAAGTCTAATTGACTTAAGGAAGAATTCTGAGATGTCTATTTCTGTCGACCATTTCATTGTAAATGTATTTGTAAATAAAACTAAATAACATGTTTCTTCTGAAATAAAGACAACGGCATAGTTACCATAGTCTGATGCTAATGATATTATGTGATTGATTGGGCGTGATTGAAGGTTTTTGTTCAATGATCCAATCGAGAAGTTTAATAACGTATTTTTAGCAGAAAAGTCATGAATGATTATGTTTCCTTGTGATGTTGCAAGCATGACATAAGAAGTATTTGCGAAATATGAGTAAGAAGTAACTTCATATTGTGATATATCGATTGAAGAAGTGAATGATTCCATTTTAGTTAATGGAACACGTCCAACTTTAGTAAGTCGAAGATTTCTGCAGATGAAGGCATCGTTTGAATCTGTCACACCGCCATCTTCTGCAAGATCACAAGATTCTTCAATGACTTGAAGTAAAAGTTTATTGATAAATCTGTAAGGTTGAGGAAGTGGATCAGAGAGGATGCCATCGTTGTTCCAATTATCAACGCGTGAATTCCTCTGCTTATCTTGCATCACTGTTCGTTATTCAAAATTATCGTTTTCCCCTCAAAATATTCAGGAAATTATGTAACATCACAATTATGATGAATTTGTTATTTCTACATGACATGACTTTCAAATTTGCTAAAATTAAAATTTTTAATTTCAAATTATGAGTAAATATTTATGAAAATCCTTAAATTAGTAGTGTATTTAGATCTATAATATAAAATAATTCAGATTTATCCTTTTAGATTTAGCATAAAAGTCTGAAAAATTCCAAATTTTTTTTCAAAAATCAAAAAATAACCAAAATTTTCTTGAATATGAGTTTTATTTTTTTAGATTTTGAAATAATTTTGGAAAATCAACAAGTTATATCAAGCTATTTCATTGCAAATTCTTCCAAAAAAATAGGGAAAATGATCACAAAATCTAATTTTTTAGTCAATTTCTTATGAAATTATATGATTCAAGAAGAAATAAATGTGCCAGTAACACAATATTCAATTTTTTAAAAGAAACACTTTATTTTAAACATTATAAAAACAAAATATCATTATTTTCTATTAGATCTATCAAGCATCCATTTTGGAAGCTGTCCAATACCAGTCTTTGTGGCTGCCAAAGCCGATGTATTGGTTTGGCGGGCAGGAGGTATCAAATAATTTGAAGAATTTTGGCGTTTCACAGGATGAGGAATTTCCTTACCCAAACCTGCATTAGACTTCCTTCTAGCGCTTGCCAAAGCCGATGTTGTGTTGAGAGATGCTGGCTGAGAAAGTTTTCTTCTTGGAGGAGCTGCAGGTTTTCCTAATGATCCTGAGGAGGAATCCAAAGCTATGGAACCATGTTCTGGCCTGACAGATGACTTCTTTGTCTTCACTGGCTTTGGAATTGATCCTACAATCATATTTTTCGGGATTTTAACTTTCTGAGTCTTTGGAATCTCTTCGTCCTCTCCTTGAGGAGCAGAAGGCTTTGGTAAGGATCGTGGAACTTTAAGAGGGTTCGACCAGTCATATTTATAATCATATTCGTATCCAAGCTTTTGGAAGAGACATCTAAACATCTTTTTGTATAATGCGTAATTAGGAGTTTCTGCAAAGCGAAGAGATTTCACTGAATTGAAATAATTGGTAAATTCTTCTGGAAATTCTCCACAAAGTTCTTCGAGGCTTGTATTAGCCTTAACTTGACAGATTCTATCATACTTAGTCTTTCTGTCTTTTGCGTCAAGGCCCATCCAAGGAAGATTTCCTTTCAACAAGTAAATCCAAACATAACCGAGCGATTCCATATCATCTCGACGTGATGGCTCAACACCACGAAGGGCATTGACTGATGCATATCTTGCAGTGCCAGTCAAGCTCTTTCCATCACTAAATGGAATATGATTATGAGTTATCGTATCACAGAATGACTTAGAAAGACCAAAATCAATTATATACACTTGATTTGCATTTTCTTTTCGTCCCATGAGAAAATTGTCTGGCTTTATATCACGATGAACGAAATTTTTGTTATGAAGATATTCTACACTCGAAATCATTTGATCTATTAACATTAAAACGGTTTTAAGAGACATCCTTCCACCACATATATGGAGTAAGTCTTCCAAAGATTTATTTAACAGATCAATAACCATATAATTATTGTCATCTTCAACGCCGAACCAATAAAATTTTGGAACATTGGTACAGCCTGAGAAGAGCATGTATAGTTTTGATTCGTAGCTTAATTGTGGGACCTTGCAGTTGCATGGTTCGACTTTTATTGAAACTTTTTCATGTGTATTAATATCTTCGCCAGTATAAATCTGGCCGAAGCTACCTGCTCCAATCTTCTTGCCAAGACGATATTTCTCACCTACAACTTTCTTCATAATTTATTTTTACAAGAAAAATTTTTACAATACATAATTCATTTTCTGTGGTTGTAAAAAAGTTTACAAAAAGGCAAATTTGGAAATTAGAATACCTATTAAAATCAGACAACATTATCAGATATTTTCACTATTGAATTAATTTGAGAACTTTACGGACTTTATTTGATATTGCCAAAGTAATTACTTTATCAATTATAGTCTTCCGATAAATTTTTTTTGGCAAAAATAAATTGAAATAGAATTTTGTTTCGCAGTAAAAGAGTGGACTTAGGAAGCTCATATTTAGGATTCGATGCTATCATATGATATGTATTCATTCTACATTCTCCTAAGTTACGTACTTTTAGTCAGTCGCACCCTTCAGCTTGACGCAATTTAATCATTCGTTTAGTTTTCGAAGATATACTTACAATGCACGCATTAGTACTATTGAATTTGGGCAGCAATTTAGTATTTAAAAAAAATTCAGTTTCATTCACGATGGTCGCTGATCATTTACTTTTTAACCGGATTCATTGATTAACATGAATAGGAAAAAATATAATTTTAACAAACAAACATTTAAAACATATATCAGATGAAACTACTGATGAATAAAATTTGGATTTTGAATTGACCTAAATATACAACTTAAATGAGTATATAGTATTTGCATTTTGAGTGTATCTAAAGAAGTATTGAATTAACCTTTTCTCTTATAAAATTATTGCGATCTGAATAATAATTCTGTAACTGTAGTGTTTTCTTGAATCTAATTCGAACGATAGCATCATATAGTTGAGCATCTTGCAAGTATTTAGGATTGGTACGTATCATTTTTTCAGGATCTTCCCATTTCTCTTTTAAGTTTTTAGAAAGTTGTTTAACTCGCTTTTTACGCTCTGTTCCCCAGTATTCCATCTTGGGAACTATGATTTTAAGCGCGTTTTGATAAGATGTCAATAATTCATCGTACGTTTTTAATTTCGTACGAATAGTTTGCTCTAATTGCTCTGTTTCTTTCGATATAGACTCATATTTTGCAAGTTCTTCATCTATTTTCGCTTGAAGTTCTGGAGATATTTGTTCTTTTCTTTCCATCTGTTATTTTTTGTAAAAAAAAATTTTTTTTATTATCAAATGACTGATTTCCCAGTTTTTCCATCAAATGATCCAACAGAATGGAAATTCCTTGCAGAAGGAAGTGATTCAATTCTTTTTGGATATGTTGGAACATCAATTGATAGCTTGAAAGGCAAAGCAATGAGATTATTTAAGAAATCTCTTCTTCCAAATAAAGTTTACATCACACCAGAGGAAAGAAAGCACAAATTACAACTTCATGTAAACTATATCAAGCGTTTTGCTGGATCTGTTCTTCAAGATATTGATCTAGGCGATATTTATACCGTCACATCAGAATTCATTCAGAAATTAGCAGAAATAACACAACCATTACGCTCAGAGAGACGTGTTAAAGAGTCTGTTATCGACGTTGCAACAACAATTTGCTGCTTACATACAAATCACTGCCCAATGGGATCTCTTACTATCGAAATCAAGCCAAAATGGGGCCAGAAGCCTGTATTCCCACTTATTCCAGCCGATTCTGTTAAGAGAACTGTTTCTCGTTTCCAATTGTTACAAAGACTCAAATTAGCTAAAGGCGAAATTAAGTCTATTTCTGAATACGAGCCAGAGGATCTATTTTCAAATGATCGCCAACGTATTACTCGTGCAATGGAAGCCATGATCAAAAATCCACAAGGAAACTTGAAGTTCTTTGTCGATAACCAACAGGTTGATGTTGACGAAAAGAAGGCATTGAAGTTTGTCGATGTTTTACTTCAAATTCCTCATCTAAATCAACTTTTAAAGATCCAATCTCTTGATGTGATTGATATTGAAGGAATTGACATGATTTTAGATAGAGCAGGACAGTTATCATGGGAGAATCTCGTCGAAGATCAATACGTTATCGATGGAGTTAAGAAGATGTTGAATGGTGAAATTAAAGTACCAGAAACAGCCGAAGAAATGAAAAAATATCTCGAAAATCTTGATGAGAAACAATGCAGATTATTAGTTGCTGCATTTTTAATCGCTACAGCTGCAAAAGATTGCTCATTCATGTTTACATTCGATAATCCAGAAGAACTTAAGAATCCAGCAATTTCTGTTATCGACTTCGATATGAAATACCCAGAAAACCTTAGAAAATACTACTTAGATATTGATAGAAAGATTGTTGCTACTTATCTTAAATCGATCGGCAAGTAGACGATCAATAAAGATAATACTTAACTCATGGAATAAACTAGCATTTATTTACTTTAATAATTTTCCAATAAAAACCCAAATCAATTTCAAAAAATCTTAATACCTCATTAATAAATGAAATTCACATAGTCCTTTGTAGATTTGATGCATAAATTAACCTATATACAATGAATTCAATGCATTATATATTTGAGGTAGGATCGATTTTATGCTGCAATTCAAATCTAGAGCAAATTAGATGTATTTTATTGACCCATGATACTTCTATATAGTGATTATTAATAAATAATTAACGACTTTGCATTGTAATATTTTATTCAAAATTTTGTAAAAGATAACTTAGATTCTGGACATTCATTTTCTCTTTTTGTCATGAAAAAATGCATCATTTCGATCCGTAACAAATTCTACGCTTAATTGTTCAACAATATGGAAATAATTGAGATATTTTGGCTTGATTCATATGTATTTTACTGATTTACCTAACCAAGAATAATTCCAAACCATTGTGCAGCGTTGTATCGATAAGTTTTATCTGTGTAAAACAAAAATAAATTCGATTCAAGAATTTTCTTTAATGATGAACTACGCAGATTTATGATAATGGAGCTATTTTTATTCGGATTGCTGTAGTTTACTCCACGTGACAAAAATGAAGTGTCAAAATTTTCAAGCTCAAAAAATTATACATTATAATGATTTTTAAATGCATTTCAGGGACATTGATTGATATTCTAACCGCCATTTCCTTTCAAATTTGAAGTATTTTAAAACAGTATATAATGACGAGTCTTGAAGATTTTGTGTCAGCTCTCAATGATTCATTAACACCATCTAGTTCTCCTCCTTGCGAGGCTCAAGTTGAGTGCACAGCTTCTTCATTTGGTAAAACCTTCATTGGTAACGTTGCTCAGAAATTGCAGTGGTCTGAGGATCAAATTAAAAATGCAGACCAACTTTTCACAAATACATTTTTCGCATTAGCCTCAGTTAATGGCCTTGTTACTGAAAAGGTTGATCAAGCTGATGTCCCTCAGCTTGTTTTCACAACATCTGCACTTATTACATACATCGAATACCTCACATATATGCTTAACACCTTAAATCTCTTGATAAATGGCGTTCAAAAGCAAGCTGAATTAGCAACTCAAAATCAAATCGATCCAAACGCATATATCGAGAGTGTAACAGCACTCCATGAGTTCGCTCAGCTCACACAATACGTTGTCGTCCACTACGATACTGAAATTCCATTAACAAAGAACGCTATTCAGGTTCCAGCGTTAGATGAGCAGATGAACACCGTTTTCTCCGCAATTGTTCAGTTGTATAACATTGCTGGCGCAATTTATAACGATATTTCCCAGCAAAACGATCCAAACACAAATTACGCCCAATTTATGCAATTATACAACCAAATCAGCCAAGTTGTTCCAGCTCTCGTCACCATGATTTCCCAGATCAAGGAATCTCTCTGCCAAACAATCACTCCGATCTATTCTGAGCCAGAATACAACGATTTCCAACTTTTCCTCAAAGGATTCACTAAAAACTCCGCCATGTTGTACCTCATCTCAACAATCATCGGAATGTCGAATACAAGCAGCTTCCACATGACAATTAGCGTTCTCAAGATTTTATCCGAACAATTACACATCATTGACTCTAAGATCACTCGTATTCTTAGATTCAGAGGCAACTTCGACACTACAGTCAAGGAAATTCACCAAGCTTACCAAACAATGAGCGAAATTTTCAAACCTCTCCTTGAGAACTTGATTCAGACAATTCCAATGGTCCAGGCAAGTTACCGCGAGGCAGCAGAGAAGTCCATCGTCGAATCTTTCCAGCTTGTCCAGAAAGATTTCGCTGATTTCAACGGAAAGTTCGAAAACCTTCTCGCAGCCATCAAGAAGGACCGCAGATTCTCTGTCTTCCAGAATATCGATCTCATTGGCAACAGCCCGATTGTTACAGAGGCTCAGCAGTTAATTCTTAACGCTGTTTCTCTTTCTACTCAATTACTTAAGGACAATGCATCAACAGACGTAATTGTTGCATCAGTTCAGAGCATTTATGGCCATTACCAGCAATTTATCAACTATTTCAACAATACAATCGCTAATGAACAAGATACATCCAACAAGAAGCGTTGGGCACGTCAGCGTGATTACATTATACTATCTCTCAACCAATTCGTTGAGCAGTTCAAGCTTTTCACCACAAATGCTGACAATTTCTTGTTTAAGTCATTAGCTGGTGCATATGCCGCCAAATTTACACTTGCAACACTCGCATTGGACGTCCATCCACTCGTTGCACAGGAACTCCAAGCGATGAGACAAGTTTTGATTTCCGGTATGATCAAATTCTTCAAGGCGAACCTCAAAGTCATTTTGGAGTCTCTCTCGCTCTGCTACCAGCGCTCAGACGCTCTCGGGGAAGATCAGAAGGCCCAATTTGACGCATTATTCCCTGTTGTTATGTCAACCTTCCAGGAAGCGACAACAAAGTTCCTCGCAACAACAGATGAAAGCAATCCAGACTCTTTCACACAATGCCTTCATCAAACAGACAGAATTCACACAATATTAAAACCACTCGTTGACGTCATTTCTGGATGCGAAGAGCAGAGCCTTTCTGCTGCCAGAACACTTCTCAACACAGTCGAGGATACAATGTTCACTCTTAACAGAACATTCAGATTCCATCTCCAGATTTCGTTTGAAGATGAGGCCAGAACATTCGTTATCTACATGGGACCATTCCTTGATTGCGTTTCGAACCTCTTCGCCCTTCAATCTGACGCTGTTTACCAAAGATTCCTCCAGAACAAGAAGCCAATTGAATCGGCTCTCGAGGAACTCAAGGCCGACTTCGAAAACGCACCTCCACTTGGTTCTTTCGAGACAGATTACACTAATTCCCTCATGGTCGGATTCAATAAGTGCCTTAGCTCCTGCATGACCGTCATTACAGAAGCCAATCCACTCATGAAGAACTCCGCCAACAACAATGTCTTCAAGAAGTGCAACACAATGCTCGTATATTGCATCAACAACGCAAAGAACCTCTATTCCTTCAGAACGGCCATCGTTATCGACAATACATGCCAAGTTCCAGGCGTTACAGGCTACAAGGTCAAGAAGAGCTGCAACGATATCGGTGTCAAATTAAACGAACTCGTTCAGAAGCTCCAATCCGATCCAGCATCAACACCACAAGTTGCCAACGAGATTGCCAAGGAGCTTTACGAGATGTACAACATCCTTTCCCAGCAGCCAGAGACAAAGGAACAAGCGGAAAAGCTCAAACAACAAGCATTGGCCATCGAACAATTGGTCACTTCATATTCCTTAGGCGACCAATCTGTCACACAAAAACTCATCGAAACAATCCAGGAAATCGGTGGCGCGATCACAGGATTGAACCAAGTTGGCGACCAATTAGTTCAACAGGTCACAGAATCCGCCAAACCACAGGAAGCACAGAAGACAGAGCAGTTCACAGCAGAACAAGCTGCACAGGCACTTGTCGATACCGGAAAAGTTTTGGACGCGAAAGGAAACGAGATTTCGGAAATCAAGCAGATTCCAAGCGAAAAAGAAGTCAACGACATTTTCATGCTCGTTAATTCATCCCAGGATTACGAGAAAGTTCGCGGTCCAATATCATCTGTTGTTGACACATTGAAGAAGAAAGTCGAACAGTTCAGAGGCTTGGCCAAAGAATACAACGAGAATCCATCACCAGAATTACTCACAAAGATGAAGACAATTGCTAAAGAGATCCAAGAAGCATACGATGTTATCCAGAACGCAAAGAACTTCGCCGAATCGAAGGCAACACCAGAAAACATCGCTTCATCAACACCATCGGAGAATTCCTCTCTCAACGATGTCGCAAACTTCGCATTCATGTTACAGACACAAACATTGGAAAGATGCGGAGATACTGCGGAAGGAAAAGTCCTTGGCCAGATGATAAACGAAGGTGTCAGACAGCACGCGATGGGCGACAAACAAGGCCTCATGAAATTGCAATTAGTTGCACTGGCAAACAACAAGGACATGAAGGAAGTCGAGCACGAAATCATGGAAGACATCAAACAAGCCGCAGAAAAGAACGATGAACAGAAACTCCAAGAATTACTACCAAAGTTAATGTTGGCAGATCAAATCTACAAGGCAACAAATCCAGCGACATCCGCACAATACGCAGCTTCTACATCCCAGGCAAGAGAATTCCTTCTCGCAATCATAGAGAAAGGAACAATTTCCCCAGAAGAAATGCCAAAAGTCATCGAAGCTGTCGAAGTATTCCAGGCAGCACTTTACGGTGGCGGAGCAGCTGCAACAGCTGAGATCTCCGATGCACAGTTATCAGACACTGTCATGGATCTCAACCAGGACATCACAACATGTGTTTCAAAGACAATCAACGATCTCAAGAAATTCTCAGCCAAAGATGCCCAATCTCTCAACACGCAGATCATAGATTTGAAGCAGAAGTCAATCTCATTGACATCAAACACTTTAGTTGCTGCAATGAGAAGAGCTGCTGCATTAAACAAAGACGATGTAGATGATCTTTCCAATGAAGTTGAGAAATTACTCGATAACCTCGCAAACTTCGAGAAAACATCTGTTGAGAGTTTGTCATCATCAAACAAGAACACTGCAGTTAGAAATGTTGGAAAGATCCAGAGAGAAGTAACAATCAATATCTCGACAATCTCTGGATTATGCGACCAATTCATCGAAGTAGAACAGACACACGAAGAATGCTACACAGGAGATGCACTTCATTTGATGCTCGATGTATTGAGATTGTCAGGTGTTTGCGATGCCCCTGCTGCATCTAAAGAAGCCGCATTCAAACAATCAATGCCAAAGGTTGTTGAAACATTCAATGAATTGAAGCAGAGAGCTACAAAGATGCTTTCTGGAACAGATGACTTCGAAACAGTCACAAAGATGCTCACAGAGTTAGAACAGAAGTTCAACGGATTCAATGCTAAAACAATGACATTCAACGATGTTATTGAATCCGTCAAAGCAGTGAATGAGATCAGACAGACAATCGACACTGCTTTGAACACAGAAGTCAAGCCACAACCAGAAGTTGCCTCCAAACTTCCATTCAGATTCAACGCCATTCCATCAAAGACATTCCAGCCTCGCCCTGTTGCAGACATCAAGAAGGATATCGACAGATCTTACGCTGTTCACGAGAAAGCACTCGAGAAACTTAACGAAGTACTTAATAACACGAGATCTGACGGTGAAACAATCTTGGCCGCTCTCAACGAGTACCACGAGGCAGCGAACAGATTGCTCACACACGCAGAGCACATGAGAAATTCCACATGGAACCCTGCCTGCCAGAACAGACTCTTGACATGCCACACGAACATGGTCAGTGTCGGAGATTCCGCAATCGACGCATGCCGCGCAAGATTGCTCGGACAAGAGAACTGGAGACAGACAGTCAACGCGTTCATCGAACAGGCAACAAACGCTGCAAAGACAGTTTCTGCGGCTGGACAGGACGCATACGACACAGTTCAACAAGACTTGTCAGCAACAAACGAGGCAGAAAAGGAACTCATCATCGCTGCACAGAACATCCAGAAGTCACAGGGAAGACTCATGTCATTCAAGTCACAGGCAGAAGACCAGAAAGTTCAACAAGGAGCAAACTACATCGGTGTCGAAATCATCGATGTTTCTGCACCAATCTTGAACACATCAGCAAAACTTATCGAAGCAGCCCAGGCACAGATGAAGTACTGCCTCGCAAGGAAGCCAAACTTGGACAACCAGACAGGTATGATCAACACGGCCAGAAACTTAGTCGATTCATTAGATTTGATCCTTGTTGCCGCGGAAGCAATCGTCAACAATGATCCAGACGCGATCAACAAAGTTTTGGCAGCATGCAACATCATCTCAGGTGCAATTGCACACTTCCAGGCTGAGTGCAGACAGAAGGAAGGTTCACCAGAACTTAATGATGTCATCCAGAACATCACAGACCAGATCCAAGAGACAATCAAACACGTCCGAAACTTCGGCGAGACAGCACAGAGGAAACAAGCAGAAGAAGCTTCCAAAGACGTCAAAACACCAACAAGAGCTCTCAACAAGATGGTTGAGAAACTCAACGCAGAAGCCAAAGTCGTTGAAGCTAAACGTGCTCTTGAAGAAGCAGAAAACAGACTTAAACAAGCAAGGCAGAAGAAATAATTGAAAAAAATTTAAATAAACGGTTAATAATATTTAAAATTATAATTAAACTTATTTGTATTTGTATTTTTCATAGATCCATTATTTTAATAGACGATACGAAGTATATTCGCTCGGGAGTTAATCAATCTATGAAATACATATATTTCAAATAGAAAATCATAAAGATGCCGAACATGTTTTCTTTTATTTTCATTATTTTTTGAATTCAATTTTTCAAAGATTACACTCACAATAGATAAAACAGATTATACAATAAAAATAAAACAAAATAAAATAATTAAAGTTAAAGTATCTCAATTTTGAAATGATTATTTCATTCATATTCATTCAATTTTCGCAGTTCATGAAAACATCAAATATTTATTCATCATATCATAATTAATGTTTTATTCAATATTTGTCAAATCAACATAACATGATCTGAAATGGAGATTGATATTTCAGCTCCATTCTTCCAGCAACTGAAATTCGACGTACAGCGTAACATTACTGTCGAGAATCTCATTAGGGAGATATCATCTATTATAAAAATGCCTATTCATACAATTCAACTCTTTAACGAAGGTGTTCCTTTGAGTCCAAATATGATAATTCGAAAGAGAACAAATGTGAAGGTTCAAGCACAAATAAATCCGATCCAACAAACACCACAAATCAATATGAATTTTGTTATGGATGAATCTTTCAATAGAAACAGATCACACTTAATCAGTATGGGTTTTCCGCCGATAAATGCTATATGTGCACTTATTGAAACAAGAAATGATGTCGTCGCAGCAACTTGTCTTCTAACGCATCAACCGTTTAAACAAATAGGACAAACACCTAATACAATAGACCAAAATGCTATAACACAATACTACGGAATACCAAACAATGAAAACATTTATAAAAATTATAAAGAAATTACACCACAAAGTCCAAATATATGTCGTAGTAACGAAACAGTCTTATGTACATCTGAAACAGCGCCACAAAAAGTGAATTATCCTATCCCTATCTATGGTTCAGCACATTCTACTCTAAATTCAGAATCAAGTTCTATTCAAAAAAATCGAAAGCAAAATAAAGGAGAAGAATCAGAAGGATGCACACAAGCTAAATCAAAAAATGATGCTGATACTGAAGTTTCTTCTTTACAGGTTCAGCCAACTAAAAATGTAACTGAAACATCAAATAAAATAGACAAAAATTTGATAAAAACATCTTATTGTGTATCAAAAGATGAAAATCCTCATGATAATTCAAAAGATGTTTCACTCGAAAGTTCGAATCAAACTGTAATTGACACAACAGTTTCACATTCATTTGAAATTCCATCAGAAACTATGAACAATCCTATTCGTAGCCAAGGTTCAGCATCAGATTCTTCTTTTCGATCGAAATTACTTTCTCTTCAAAAGAATCAAAAGCAAAATAATGAAGAAGAGGATGCCAAAGTTCATGAATGGACTGAAGAAGAAGATAAAAAACTTGTTTCTATTTATCAAGAAAATAAGATGAAAGATAACTTCTTGACAACTCTTCAAAACGCATTCCCATCCATCAAATTATATGATATCCGCACTAGAATCGAGCAACTGTCTCTTGATAACCAAACATTAAATTCAAAAAATCATAAATCTAAAAAAAATCATAAATCTAAAAAAACAAACAATTCAAATGATCAAGTTGTCGAAAAGCCACAACCACTCCAGTATGCATTGACTCAAAATGATGGGTTATTCCTCTGGAGGCTAGTTCTAAATGAAGATCCAGTTGAAAAGAAAATTGAGTATATGAAACATCGTTTTAAAATTTTTTCAGAAGATGATCTACGTACGATCTTCAAAAAATCATCTGAAAATATCATGTCTCTTCCAATCAATTTCCATGATAGGGAATTTTTCATTTCAAGTCCAAGTGAAATTCCAATCTTGTTATTAATGCAAGCATACCTTAGTGTACACAATCATGAAGATAAATGGGATCGTCTTTCTAAGATTTTTCCCAACATTGAATTTGATGAACTCAAAAATCATATTGAGAATCTATTAAGTATAAAACAAGATGATCTCCAATCAGAAGAAGATGGATTGAGGAAAATTATAACATCAACGCAAACTAGACAAGAACAACAATTTATTAATTTGATGTCAAGTAAAAACAAACAATGGGAAGAGATTGAAAAACTTGAACCAGGATTATCACGACACTCTATAGCAAGGAAATTCGGTAAATTACTTAAAGAATATATCAAAGGAATTCGTCTTGATTTAACCATCTCAAATGAATGTTTAAAGAAAATATTACCATATTTGGGAAGTGAATCTCAACAATCTAAATTAGCTATGAAAAAACGAAAAGAATCTTGGACTCCAGAAGAAGATGATTTACTTCGAAGAGTTTATAATGAACATAATAATGAAACTAATAAATGGAAAAAGATACTTTCTTTTTTCCCAAACAGAACTTTTTATGGTGTGGCAAATAGAGCATCTTTGATTGGGATAACAAAGAGAGATATTCAACAGTCCGAAGATGAAGATGAATCAACATTTTATGAAGATGAAGAAGATGAGCCACAAATACCTAAGAAACAAAAGCTAAACAAGTGTTCGAAAAATAAATGGACTCAAGAGGAAGATGATTTGCTTCGAAGAATTTATGCTGAAAATGAGAACAATCCTGATAAATGGAAAGAGATACTTTCTTTTTTTCCCAAACAGAGCCTATTCGAGTATCTATACTAGATTATTTAAGTATGGGCTAACAAAGAAACATACTGGTGATGATGAATCTGAATCATCTGAAAATGAAGATGAATTTGATGAAGAATCTTCATCATCCTCAGATGATGATGAATTTATACAATCTGAAGATGAAGAATATCAGGAAAAACAAAAATATTCAAGATGGACTCCAGAAGAAGATGATAAACTTCGAAGAGTTTTAGATGAAAATAAGGATGAACCGGATATATGGGAAAGGATCAAACCTTTTTCCCCACACAGAACCATTGCGAGCATATATTATAGAGCACATGAAAAATTCTTTATAAAGAAACAATCATGTGAAGAAGACAATGATAAGCCATCACAAAAAATACAAAAAACAAATAATGATAAGCAGAAAAAGCGTCAATCTCAAATATGGACTACAGAGGAAACGGATAAACTTATAAGAGTTTACTTTGAATATCAGAATGAAACTGATAAATGGGATAAGATAATGGCTTTTTTCCCAAACAGATCTTTTAAGAGTATCTATAGTAAAGCATCTATTTATGGACTTACAAAGAAATATCGCAAATTACAAAAAGAAAACAAAGAAGAAGACCACAATGAACAATTACAAGAAAAATCACAAATGTCTGATGAATATGTGCAGACAAAACGTATATTTCCAAGGTGGACTCCGGAGGAAGATGATAGACTTCGAGAGGTTTGCATTGAATTTCAATTTGCAGCTGATAAATGGAATCAGATAACGGCTTTTTTCCCAAACAGAAGTTATAGTGGCATCTATAAGAGAGCATCTTTTTTGGGACTTACACAGAAGCATCGCAAATTACAATCAGAAAACGAAGATGATTCTGAACAATTTGAATATGAAGAAGACCAGAAGGAACAATTAGAAGAAGAGTCACAAATTCCAAACGATAATGATGTACAACAAGAAGATCTACCCATAAATAATGACAATAATAATGATAATAATAAAGGAAAACAAGATTTTTTCATACCAAAAGAAGAAGAATTATATTTACCAGCCGTCGACGAAGATAATGAATATAACGAAGATAATGGATATAACGAAGATAATGGATATAACGAAGATAATGGATATAACGAAGATAATGGATATAACGAAGATAAGGAATCTTATGAAGATCTCATTCGAGAAAAAGAGTCAACAAAACAGGAAGAATTTCCAGAAGGAAACGAACATCAAGAATATAAAGAAAAAGATCAACATAATGATGTCAACAATATCGACATTTACCCAATCGAGAAGAAAGAATTAGTTGCTAAATTCGTTAATAAAGTATGTGATAAACCTCGAAACTCTTCAGATTGTTCATTATGGGATTTTGATAGTGATAAATTGCTTTTAGATACATATGTCAATGGAGGAAACATCTATGAAACATTTCGTTCTATCTCACGAATTGCAGTTTCCACACGACTTAAAAGTCTCCTCAAGCTTCTTTCTAATCCAGTTCTATCATCCGAATCTCATATTTGTTTATCAGACAAAGACCGCCTTAAAATCGGATTACCAGTTTTCAACTTGAATAACAACAACATAGATGAAGAAAATCAAATGCACAATAAAATTTATGACTTAACCGAAGTCACCAATGAAAAATGACCAATAGCAAATATTATCATCAATTAATTTGTTTGTTTTTTTTTATATTATTTTAAATGTAATATCTATCTTTTTTAAAATGATATTTTGATTTATGCTAATTCAATAGAAAGAACATTAAGCATATCATAATAATATTCCTTTTATATTATTCGAGCATACCTAAACGAATTTGCATCACATTTTATTGAGTTTTTAAAAAGCGAATTATTGAACTAAATCAATAGAATGGTTGGGAAATAGAAAATACATATCATTTTCCTTTTCAACAAAAATTTGTCACTGAGTAACTAAAATTGAGAGGTTTACATCGATTTTGATTTATATTGAGCCATTTGATTTTTGGCTTTTGATGATGAAATAATATATGAAACAATAATTTCTCCTTATTTATCCAATAAAATCAAGTGAATCATTAGAAGAATATAAAAATTGAATAAAAAGTTCAAATTATTATGAAATACCTTGTGAAAACATATCATTCCATTTATTTAAAAATTTGCCCAGTTTGATATTGGTATATTTAATTTTTTGATAGCGCGTGGACCTAATTTGTCTGAAAATTGAGGCGTGAGATATATATTCAAACTATCAAAAAATAATTTGGTTAGTTAAATCTTTTGGTATCTCGGCTTTTACATGAGAATTCACTTGATTTTTTCAAAACCAAATCAATTTTAGCAAAAATTTTATCAAAAATTTTAACTGATTTTATTTTAAAATTTTGTTAAAATTTTAATCCTTGTATTATATCCTCCATATTATTATTGACTTTATATTCTGAGCACACATTGAAAATTGAGAGGGCACGCTACGCACTCAATTTCACATTTCCAGCCAAATCAACATTCAAAATTTTTCAATAGTCCCTAAATTTTCATTTATCTTTATTCCTGAAATGCCAGCTGCACCATACTGCTATGTTCCAGAGGAATCTCCATTCCTCGAAGGATCCCAACTTAAGACAAAGTCCGTCTACTTCGATGCTGAAGAAGAAGACGGAAGCATCAACAGTTTTCAAACGTTCTATTCTTCATTTTATGATGAAGAAACATCAGAATCAAGCTCAATGAGCACATCTAACCCATACGAAGATTCAACAGAAAGCGACGAAATCGAATGTGACTACATTCTTCCAACACCAGATATTTTACTCCTCACATCTCGTTATAATCTTCCAGATCCACAAGAAAAGACAAAACCAAAGTTCTCCTATACATTGGCTAACGGAAAAGTCCTTGAACTCGAGAATCCACTTCCATCTTGCTTACCAATTGAAATCCTTTGCGAAGGAGAAGAAACAGAAGAGCCAGAGGAACCAGCACAGGCATCAGATAATGCTTTATACGTTACATCTGCTGTCTGCCCAATTGCAGGCTACATTGCAGCTTTGATTCTCAAATCAAAGAGACCTCAGTTAGCAAGACGCCTGAAGAACATCAGTAATGTTTCAATGACTGTACTTGGTTCTATACTACTGATACTTCTTCTATAATATATATTATTTGTTTGTAATTATATATTAAAATACTATCATGTTTGTATTTCGTTAAATTAATTTGTTATTTTTTTAAGAGTGCACTTACCACTATCTGATATCTTTATTATAATAGCAGAAAAGTATAGCAGCCAAATTAGGCACTATATAGTGATTTATATTTACTTTCTCCTGACCAAAAATATTAACTTTTGACATGAGAATATTGTGATAGAAAGCTTGTGTGTCAAAAAAATCGAGAGAATGTCAGAAAGTGGTAAGTGCACCCTTAAAGAAACATTTTTGTTATATGTAAGCAATTTTTTTAGTGTTTTAAAATTATATTTTTTAAATTTTTTATTGAAACATGATTATTTATTTCATAAGAGGTTTTCTATTTGCATATCATCGATTCCTTCAATGTCATCAATAGTTGGTTCGTTTGATTCTGGGAATTCAGACTTATTCCTCTTGCATTTAATGCAGGAATAGATAATAATACCGACAAAAGCAAGAACAAAGACAAGGCCTATCACAAGCCAAGCAATTTGACTAGAACTAAGGGCAGGATAAGTTAATTTCGGTTTGTAACCTTCTAGAAGGGCATAAATAAGGGTTTGAGAGTTCTTTACTGAGATACTTATATCCGAATTTGGTGTAGAAAGCTTATCAACGTTAGATTTTGTGACAGGTGCCCAAAGAGTCAAATTTGAATCTGTTGTACTGACAAGCATCAACATATTTGTATAGAAGTTCTTGGAAATGTTGCCATAACTGTATTCTGATATAGAAAAGTTCATAAGGAGCTCTGTTGGAATAAAAGATCCGTCATAAATTAATTTTCCTGCGTCTTCTTCTACTTTGATAATCAAGGTAATGCTAATCTTGGAAATGTCTGTTGTACCAAGGTCGAGATTTGCTGTTGCGGGAACTACAATATTCGATAAAACTTGAGAAACGTAAATTGTTCCGTATGATTTGTCTAAAATATCTAATGTTGTAATTGTTGTAAGGTTGGAATTCAAAGTGCCAAATCCATTAATCGAAAGATCTGAAATTGTGGAAGATTTCGTGGAATAAATCGTAATCATAGTATTGTTTAAGATGAATGACTTAATGGTATACGCTTGTGAAGCTGTAATGTTTAATGTGCAAAAGAATCCAAACAATATTGGCAGTATATTTGTTGTAAATTCTAAATTAATTGTACAAGCTACGTAGTTCATGAGACATTCTGATGTCCAATCGCCATTTACCTTAAAACTAATTGTTAATCCCGTTGCGTTATTGAGGAAACCGAATCTTAAAACTTCATTTGTTGATGATGAAGATTTATCTATGGTAACAACCGATTTATCAGCGAAGGCAAGGATTGGTAGTGTATCACCTTTCTTTGTGAGAGTGTATGTTCCAATAACAAAGTCATTTTCACCAAATGTGATTGTTGAATCTTCACTAACGTCAAGGAAGTAATCAGTGAGATCTCCAGATGGAACAGATTGATAAGCAAGCTTTGAAAGTTGAAGATATGATACCTTTCCAACTGATAATGAATTAGAACCAAATTTTACGTTGCCAAATATGGCTTTTTCAATGGACAAAGGTTCTCCTACAACAGTAAATGTTACATTCTCGATATAAATTGCACTAATTGAAGAAGATGTCGTTGATGATGCCTTGAAATTGAGTTTTGGAAGGGAATCATCAGTAACACTACTATTAATCCATAATGAGTTCTTCACTGCTCCATCGAAATTGAAGTATTTTCCATCAGCCATGTCAGAATTAATCGTCAAAACAGCTTTGATCGTATGTTTAGTGATGTAAGAGCCAAATTCACCATTCTTGAGGTCCCATGTGAATCCGTCGCAGTTCTCGTAGCAGAAAACAGGGTAAACTCTCGAAGGATAATCATCAAATTTGTAGGAAAACGTGGAATAAATGCCATCAGACGAACAAGACATCTCAAGGATACTTGTATTTGCAGTAAAGCCTACAACACCTGTATCAGGAAGTGTTGCGGACATTTGGCTGCAGCCAACTTTATTTGATTTAAAGAAAGTACCTGATTTTCCTATTAATGGGGCCATTTCTGCATCTGTTGGCATTGTGTCCTTGTAGTACGATGCTTTAACAGCGATAGAAAGGATGTTTGTGATCTCAGCAGTGATTCCTTGGCCAAGAAGACCGATTTTGTACTGGTAGTCAATATCATAGGCCAAGTAAAGGAAGTAGAACTTGACTGTTGAGTCAATTATAGTCATTGTTTTGTTGATTGAGAAAGGAATGTAAGAATTCATGTTACTTGTGTAGTAAACTGATTCTGCAGTGAAAGAATCGATCCATATCTCTATGTTACCTGTGGATGTGAAGGTACTTGTTCCTGTAATGTAAAGTTGCTTGATATAAATATAATTATTTGAATTTAAGTTCACAGTTGCGGAATTTGAAATGAAATTCATCTTACTGATGTTAAGATAGGTTAATGAATTAGTCATAACTACATTTCCTTGAACAGAAAATTCTATCGGAACTTTTTCAGTTTTTGAAGTAACTGTGAGGGTATCATAGTTTGTAATAACAATAGGAGTTGTATCTATGCTACTAGAAAGAGTTATTGTCGTTGCATTATATGTATCAATGTTGATTGATTGAATTGATGTGCTGATACTGTCAATATTCAAGGCGAATGTAGTTGCTCCTTGGTCAGCAATGAAGTTAAGAATGGAGTTTGTAAAATTAAAGGTTAAAATTGAACCTTGAAGATTCAAAGTTGTATTTTCTGTAAAAGTTAAGATTGAATCAGCTGTTGTTAAATGAACTATCAATGCTGAACTATCTCCTGTAAGACAAATCGGATTCTGCCTTTCATAACTAGTAGCAGAACCAACTTCGATTGTTATTTGAGTTGATGCGTTGATATTAGCAATGTTTTGGATAGATTTTGTATCAAATGTAAAGTATGATGCGTCAATACTTAGTGTGTTAGCTGCATCAACAGTGATTACAGAATTAATGAAAGATAAATTCATTGCCTGAATAACCATAGCAGTTTGTGTGCCTACAGCAAATTTTAGTTTAGCGTTTTCGATAGAAAGATGTGATATCGCAACATTTTCTTGTAGAGAAAAACTTAACATAGAATTTTCATCACCGAAAAATGTTAAGTTTTTCCTTTCTAAGGATGAAATATCGATACTAACTGTATTTTCTGTACCGTTGTAAACCTGAACGGCAATTACATCAGCTGATACAGCATTCGTTTTAATTTCTTCGAAAGTTTGATAAACAACGGCTGAGTCAAGAGTGCAGTGCTCTATTTTATCAGCTTCTGCCATTAAACAATAGTTTGTACATATAGAGAATCCTAAAAATAAAGCAAACATGAAATCACCTTTGAAAAGTACAAAATTTTACAACAAAATTTGTTTATAGCCGTTTATTAATTCTAATATTCGATTCTCTGCACCGAATTCTCTGAAAAATTATCGATTGTAAGGAAAACGAATGTATTTTAGTATTTCCATTTATTTTTGCAATATTGTAAAAAATTACAATTTCAATCAAAAATAATCATTGATCGTATTTCAATATACCCAGATTTTCCATAGTTTTTCCTCACCCCCTATAATTTGAGGGGAAAATGATTATTAAAAAAATTTATGGTACCTAGCATCGAGAGTCTATCTTTATGCTAGTTTTTGCAGGATGATTCCTGATGGGAACTATCATAAAATAGACTGAGGTTTATGATGCTTGAAGCTTTCAGTTATAGCTCAAAATTTAAATCTCAACATTTCCATTATTAAGATTTTCGGTTTTATATCAAGGCATTCTTCCTCTTTTAATTGTTTACACTCTAGCAATAAAAGCATATTACGACGAAAAAATTATAACTCATCGTTCTTCTTTAAAATTTGCAAATAATATCTTTCTTTTTAAGCTTTATTTTTATTTATAAATGTCGAATTCATAAATTACGAACACTAAAAAGCTTATACTCAAATAGGCAAAGACCAACTTGCTTATAACTACCAAATTATCGATTTTGAATTCTTATTTTTTCGATCGATAATATATATCTAGGATCTTTACTATTACAGTTGTTATAGGGAAGGTATAAGCTTCTATTTAAGAAAGACTTTATTTTACAAGACGATTTATTATGATTTATTTTTTTATTCTTTATTGTTTTCTTTATTTATTAGACTAAATATTATTTGTTTATTATATTTTAGAAGTTTTTATTATATTTTTAAGGATGAAAATACAACTTCTAACATCTCTAAGTTATCTATTGGAATGAATGCAAGCTATTCAAAAATAAATATAGAATATTATGTACACAGTACGTAATAAAGTTGTTCTCATAAGAATTCTTTGTTAAATAAGCAAAAAATACATATAATTTAAAAGATTTATGAATATTTATCAATTAAGCCTATAAGAAGCTTTATGGATCATTCTTTGCTTAATAGTGATGATAATACTTATATGACAAACAATATTAACTCAGTATTTGTTTTCTCTTTTTCATTGAGAAAAAATAATATAAAAAAGCAAAAACTCTTTTGATCTGGAATTGAACCTGCATACCCAATTTTAGGTTTTACAAACTTATTCGCATACACTACTCAAACGTTCATTTATTTCCTTTTATAGTGCTATTTGATCATTCTCGGACAACCCCTGCCTTTTCGAGTGGAAAAAGTATGGGAAATCTGGGTATTACGGAGGTTAAAAAATAGTTCAAAAAAACAGTTTTGGAAAGCATACAAACAGAACCTTTCTAACAAACAATCAACAAATTTGATATTGTCATATCTGTTAAGAGAAATCTTAATATTATTAAAATTAAAAGATAGTTTTATACAAATATACATAAACATGAATAAAATATCGAAAATACTAGACATACGGCACGCAGATAAGCAAAAATTATGCATTGCTTTGAGAAGTACCAAGTGAGTCCTGATAAATTTCAATAGGGATATCTTTTGATGCAAAACGAAGACTAGTGTTCGTGGAAAACATAAGCCTTATTGCATACATTGCATTGAATGAAAATATGGATTGACGTGGAGTACTCCATAATTTGAATTTTCTTAAATCTAAAAATATAGGAATTTCTATATTTGCTAATGGACAGCCATCCATTATTTGGTATTCATCAATTACATCTCTAGTAACGATATTGTTATACGTCTCGATAGCAATTAATTGTAAAAATGCCTTTTCAATTCCTGATATTCCGGATTTTTCTACTATCAGCTTGGCATTGATGATAGAATTGTTTGAAAATTTGTCGTTTTTGGCAATAAATTTTGCACAAAAATCTTTATTGTTAATAGTAAAGCAAAGATCTGATTTAAATGATACGTCATATAGTGGATTAACTATTAAAAAGAATGCCGAGGCCTCAATAGGGAAAAATGTTCTATTAACCGTTGCAACAATTACGTATGTGTAACTATATTTGCGTCCTAAATAACTAGGTTGGTAATCATATGTTGCTGTAAAGTCAAATGATAATGAAAACGGAGATGCAATCTGGCCGGATGGTTGTTTTGGGTCTGTTAAGTATAGTTTAGATAGTTCTCTTGTTTCTTGAAGGACTTTTAATTTGTAAATACAACAACATAGCTTAACCTCGATTCCTTTATGTTTTAAAATTTGACCTGGTTCTTTTGTTCGATATCGGATAGAGAGGACCAGGAGTGTCTCAATTTTTTAAAAATGGCTGGAAAAAAGATATTATAAAGGACATATATCATATTATATAATATCAAATTTTCATTGAGCTGCTAATGGCCAAAATTGAGATATAAATCTAAGAAGATTTCAGAGCCATTTTGAGAGGTTTGTTCGGTTTAAAAAATAATTTTCTCAAAAATTTGATTTAAAACTGCTTTTTACGAAATTGAGCAATAGAATTCACATTCCATATCATAGATATACAGTTATATTATGTGTTATGATATAGTTTGATCCCTTTTTGGTTCTATATGAGCTCAATGAAGAAATACTTGCATTATCAAAAATTTTTTATTTCAGAAGGAAATGGTTCAAATTACGACGGATAGATTTTTTATTTTAACATATTTTGCACCAATCTTTTTCACTTCTCTGGGTAATATTTTACAATAAGATATAAACATTTAACTTGTATTAGTGGAACTATATCTTCGTATATGCTTTGAAGTTATAATGATGAGATTTTCAAAATTTTAATATTTTATATTTTTAAATATTTTGGGACAATATGCCTCTATATGATACTTATATAAGATAAGATATCCAATAATGAATGATAGAATCCAAAATATCATGCTTTTAAATATTCCAAAATAAATATAGAAAAAAGCAATATGATTTTGATATGAATAAAACTTAAAACAACAAACATTTTAATAGAAGGTCTCAAATTAGTATCATCTCAAATGATAAATATATTGTATTTTCTTAAACATTGATTTTAGCAAAATCTGAGAGTATGGTATATCATTTTCTGCAACATATCAAAAATATCATACTTTCAAGAGATTTTGACAAATAACGAATTTTTATTAAATTTGTAAAAAAAAATTGGCAATTAGCAGTAACTAGTCCTTTTGATATGTTAATAGTCGCATGAATCCTGTCAAATGTATCTCTACGTTTTGGGATAAAAGAAGGTCTGAGTAGGAGATATGCGATAGTCCAAACCTGAAAAGTTAAATTCAGGATGAATTCCATAATGGTTCTTTTTGTATAAGCGAATGCATATCGTTGAACATGAAAATAAGCATGTTGACTTTAATTGCTAAATATTATAAGTTAATGTAGAATAATATGAGCTGTAACAACTAATATATAAAACTTTGCTTTGTGCTAATTAATATTGCTGGGATAAATTTTATGATAATCTAATAGAGTTTGTTTTCCCCTGATCGAACTTTGCTCAGGTCGAATTTTTGTAAAAAAGTTTACAAATCAGAACGATAGAAATTGAGACTCTCCAGGTCCTCTTCGGATAGAGCCAGATATCTTTTCTCCAGGGTAAAAGAATGGTGTGCCGGTTCCGAAAAATGTATCGAAATGCGGCTTCGGCGATGGATTAAGTCTGATCGAAATTCCATCACTCATGAAAATTTATCCATGAAGTTGAAAAATCCAAGAAAGAATACTGATCCAGATTAATTGATAGTTTTAGAATTACGAAGTCAAATAAATTTACGTCATCGTTATAATTTCTTCTCAATTTTGTGAAGCAACCTTGATTGAGACAGAAAAGTATTTCATTGCCCAATTATGATTGAAAACTTACATGCATAGACACATATACTAAATAATTTAGGTTATATACGGAATATATCAACTAATCATCGTTCAAAATTCCTTATGAGTCAGAAATTAAAAATATAATGTACACTATGCTAGACATATGAACATATTATTAACTGCAATTCCTCAGCAGTCTATTTTAAAAAAATAAAAATACTCATATCCAAAATACACACAAATCCTTCAATCATATCTTAACTAGTTTGCAAAAATATAATGTGTTATATTTTAAATTATGAATGTGCAATAACTTATAAAAACAGATGAAAAAGATTTTTCTTGCTGTAAAAGTCAACAAATTTGTTTGGTTTCGAATATACAATGAATGAAGAGTGTATAAATTAAAAATAAGCATTTTCAACGATGCAAAAATTTTTTTTCGATAAGAATTGAATCAGACTTTTCAAATAAAAGTAAGGGGTAATGGACCCCTTTTTTACCCCCTAAGATAACATCTTTGAACCACTATGATTATTTATCATGCTCCAAAAATACTACGAAGTTATTAGAAATTAAACTGCTTTTCCGCTCAAACCATCATTGAATTGAGGAGAAATTCATTGATAACTTTACAATTATATTTTTACAAAACGTCCCAGTTAAAAATCCGATGTTGTTGGCTTACAGACATATAGGATTTACAAGTATTTCACAGATTTAATCGACCATATTCAATCCTTTGAAATCATAACAATTGAATGAGCGAGTGTGCTCCTGGCTATATTAAGTGGATTAAATCTGCTTTCGGAGAGTGTGTCGTAACGCCAAGAGATAAATGGAGCTTTGGTGTCGGTATGTTCTCAAATTGCATCTGGCTTGTTTCTTCTACTCCACAATACATCCAAAACTGCAAGACAAAGCGCGTTGACGGACAAAGTCCATTCTTCTTCAGCTTGCTCTTCTCCGGTAACATCTTTTCTTTAATTGGCCTTTTTATTAATGGTGGCCTTTTCATTCAGATCATCCAATCCATAATTTATTGCATTCTTGATGGAATCCTTGTTTCTCAATACGTATACTATCGTTGCTGTTACGTTGAATGTTGTGTTGACCAATTTAAAGATAAAGATAAAAACAGCAAAGATATTTCAGATATTTCTGATGGAAGCGATAATATTGTGGCACCAGCAGTAGCAGGAGTTGCAACTGCTGCTGTATTAGCTGCAGTTGACTACGCACATCCTTATTCAAAGATTGAACTCCTCGGAACTATATTCGGATGGATTTCAGCATGTATTTACATTTCCTCAAGAATTCCTCAAGTTATTAAGAACTTTCAAATGAAAACCGTCGGCGATCTCAGTCCATTTTATGTAATCTTGTCAATTTCAGGCAACAGTACATATTTAATATCCTTATTCATCAAAGATACTAGTGCTCAGTTTGCTTGGAATCAAATGCCTTGGATCTTCGGTGCTGGCGGGCCATGCTTATGCGACATAATCTTTTTGATACAGATGTGTGCATTTGGTCTTTCTACAGGTGGAAATACCCAAAAGAACGATTCCGATGTTAATCCAGAGCTTGAAGAGAATTTTGATGAAGCTCGTTATATTCCTGAACTTTAATTGTCTGAATCCTTTTATTCAGCAATCCCTATATTCATTTTGTGTCTCAGGCGCTTCTTCTTGGATACAAATTTAAAATAGTTTTATTAGACTAAAATAAATATTATGATGACATTCTTTTTATCTATGTATGGCCTTGATAGTGTAGTGGCTACTCTTTTCTAATAGCATACCATAATTTTTTTTACGACTCATCATGTGAAATATTAAATGTTATAATAGTATATGGGAAATGACAACATACAAATAATATTTACAATACAAACAAAAGTGTAATATAAATGGTAAAAGGAGTTAAAGATCACATGTGACTTTGGCTAATGAGATCAAAGAGTCAGATGATGAAGACGAGTCCTGTTCAGGTCGTAATCGAACTAATATTGTTTGTTCATCATCGTCATAGTAATCTTCTTCTTCCTCCTCATAATAATAATATGAATATGAATAACTATAATCATCTACATTTTGTAGAAGAGGTATAACTTCGGTTCTTGTGATTGGAACAAGTGGCACCAAATCATTAGTTTCTGTAATAACTTCTGGTGGCATTTCTTGATAAGTTTGCTCGCGAGGAATTTTCGGCTTAAACTTAAGAATTCCTTTCTGAATTAGGAAAAATAGAACTGTTCCAATAATAGCGACGATAATAACAATTGGTATGATAATAAAGCCTGATATTTTAATGGGAAGTGTATTTATTGACCTTGTTGGTGTTGGAGGTGGTCTCGTTCGTTTTGGAGCAGAGCTTGCCAAAACAAACAAATAATATAACAACAACATAATCACTAAGAATTTGTAAACTTTCCAAAATTTTTTCTTTGAGTTTTAAAGAATATTTATATTTGGAAGCACTAATATATAAGGTTCATTGAAATTTTGCTTACTTCAGTGTAAAATTTGATATTTAAAATTTGAATTATGTATTATGTTTCTTATCATATTTTCTTTATCCAATTTTTTTCTGAGAAAAGTTGTTGCATTTGAAAATTGAATGGCGTTAAACTTCTTCATAAATGTTAGGTTTAATCAAATCTTTATGAAAAGTAATTAAATTCAAATTCGATAATGTGAAAAATACACAATATTCAATTTGAAAAGAAAGAAGTTTTGAAACAGCTAAACCAGCTTTTCATAAGTTTATTCGAAGATTATATTTTGATGAAGGGATAAGTCCATGAATACTATATTTAAGGGTTTCGTTTTGCTAAAATTGTCACTTTTATAGCATATTTGTTTTGGATGTTTTGCGAAACAAAAAAAAACTATGATATACAATGTGTGTGTAAAGAAAATACTTTATTTACTAGTTAAAAAATCATTTGGTATTGATCAAGTTATTTTTTCTGGATAAGATATTATATGTATAATTGGATAGAAAATACAATTATATAATCTTGTACCTGGTTTAATTAAGCTAATTGTCATCAGAAACTTGTAATTTTTATGAATTTCAGATTTTCTTTTCATTACTGCTTTTCTTAATAGGTCAAGTTCTTATTTACGTTATAAAGTATGATATTTACAAATATCAAGTTATCATGTTTTTTGAGAAATTATGAGAAACAAACAAAAATGAAAAAGATAGGAATAGCAATGAATAGTGATGTGGGTATAGAAAATGTAAGAGATATGAATGCAAAGCAATCAGTATTTAGGATATTGACCATAGATTTCGAAAAAAAATGCTGCATATTGAGCGAAAACTATGATTAGATTATAAGGCTGTCATTTAAAGCATAATGAAACTATTCCCTTTTCATTTTAATCGAATAAGATATTAAGATTTTTGAATTAGCTAGAAACTGATGAGATGTTTTCACAAATCAGATTTTTAATCTCTATAATGCATAATTCACTCAATATCTCAATTTCGATATTGCGAGATATTTTTGCTATCGGTTTCGCAATTTTGACACAATAGCAAGAGGGTTCTATAAGCATTATTATCAACGTAGAATCTGAATATCATATCAGAAAATGTCGCAAATCTGACATTTATCCGACCAAATAGCAAAAATAATTGAATACTTTTCGCAAAAACTCAAAAATCGATAAAAATATGAAATATTGTAATAAACAGAAATTCATCAAAAGTGACAGCTCTCAATTTTTTGACATTTGTAAATTCTAAATTGAATGAGAAAAATGAAATAATACTAAGCATAATACAATATTCTAGATTTAATTATAATTAGGAAAAAGTTAGTTTTGAGAGTACTTTTCATAGGCATATAGAATGAAATCTTCTGAAAAATTTTATTTTTTTATTAAAAAGAATCTTTACAAAATATACATTTACTTTAATTAATATTTAAAAACGTGCTCTATCAAAAGTTCCAAAAATTCAATATTTTAGCTTTTCTGAGGTGTCACTTTTGATGAATTTCTGTTTACAACAAAAGAGACTTTTTATATAATATTCATAAAGATTTTCCAAAAATATGATACCGCAAAATTAAAAAAGTGACGTCTTGAGTGGAGTCAAATTGCTAGCTAAATGTTTTTTTAGCGAAATTGCGTATTGTACGTTTTTTCGCAAAACGAAACCCTTACTATATTTAAATAGCATTTTAACAGAAGAAAAATGAAAGAAATTTAAAAATTGAATTCTAAAGGATTTGATTTATATAAAATGCTTTCTAAAGAGTTTGGATCTGTTATCAAAGGTTAGTTACTTTTAATAACGTATTAATTCTATCGGTGTGCAGTGCCGATAGATCAAATAAAGTAAGCATGGTTTGTTCGATCTGAATAATTACTTATCTTCATCGAATCTGTGGCGCTTGTCCAGCAGCTTATATATTTCAACACTTTCACTGGGTCTCTAAATTGGGTTTTGCTTTTTAATATTTCTTGCTTTAAATAAATATGCCTGTATCAAGAAACGAAAATCAATAAGCAGAGATGAATGGATCCAGTGCCATACGAAAATTGATAGACTAAATCATATTTTATGTTTTTGTTCTACTTTTGATTCAAAATCATCGGATTTGTGATATATTTGCACAGTAACAGCATCAATGATGTTATTGTCCAGTTCCAATATGAAATTTTTCATTATATCTTTCTATAATATGGATTTTGGTTTATTCTAGGAATTTTCAAGATTGTTTGCAATATTTATTTCGAGATCCTAATATCTTTTTTCCGGCCTGATTGAATAATTTTTTCTTCGATTTTCAAACTTCTTTCCTATTATGTACACATCATAGGTAACACTAGAGCGAAGTCGAAAATGTTGGTTCTTGATTTAATTTCCTTATTTGCATCATGGCTTTTCCATCATCTCAAATTTGAATATAAAACGGCCGAAAATGTGGGTAAGTTTTCTAATATTCCTAATACCGGTATAACAAGCTTTAATATTTTCTGTTTTTGTTAAATTTAAGGTTAATTGCTTCCAAAGGAGAATAAACATTATTTGCGTTTAATGATCTACATTAATGAACAAATTAATTCCAACCTATATACCAAAAAGACAGACAGCAGTCAACATTTGGAAATTCCCAAAATCCGGTTTTTGAGGGAAACCGCTAAGGTAATGCATGGCACTGAATAATAACCAATCAGTGTCAAGCCTTGAGGCCGAAATCGCCCGTGAGGACGAGCTCAGGGATGCAGTATATAGATTTAATGTCCGACCTATAACTGGAATTTTACACCTTGTTTCGGTATTAGGTGCAGATAGATCTCCACAGTCAATTGCGCACATTATGCATATGATGAACGGATTAGAGGGAACGAAAATAGGCGAATACCTATCAAAACCAGAAAATGCGGAAATTTTACGATGCTATTTCAGAGAATTGGATCTCAGAAAACCATTTTTAGAATCGATGCGCGTCGCTCTTTCTGGAAGAATGCAACTTCCACAAGAGTCTAATGCAATAGATCAGTGTTTAACCATTTTTGCAGAAATTTATTGTGAGCAGAACACAGATACAAAGTTAGATTTCAACTCGGCTAATATTTTAGCGGTTTCTGTAGTCATGCTAAATACAGATTTGCACAGTCCGAATATTCTTCGAAGAATGACTCCGATTAATTTCATAAGTAATATTCGAGGTTGCTTAAATCAGGAAAGTATTTCAGATATGGAACTCGTCGCAATGTACAACGATATAAAAGAGCACGAATTTATGTATAGCGGAAAATCTAGAGTAACGCTTGCATTATGCGCCCCAGAAATTAAAGGGTGGCTAGCCAAAAAGCAGGATTCTTGGAGAAGCTATTGGACGCAGCACTTTTTCGTTCTTACAAATTCTTGCTTGTACTATTTCCCAAAGGCAGGTAACGACACTGATCCTTTAGGAATTATTCAGCTTACAGACGTTCAAATTACCGAACATGATCCCGAAAAGCATAGAATACTTATTGATGCAGGAACAAGAGAAATACAATACGTTAAATTCCAAAAGCGCCGCCCAACAAGAATTGGCGGAGTTAAGCGTATATTCTTAGAGGTTAGAGATGGAGACTATCATAAATGGTTCTATAGAATTCGCCAATCTGTTGTTTATTCTAACTTTAATAACCAATCCAGCGCTCATATGGGAAGAAATTCAGTCGATCCAACAATGTCTGGAACTGATGCGGAATCTGAAGTTGTTCAGATTTAACATTTTTTGCTGTTTTTTATTTATTTATCTGTTGTTTGAATTTTGAATAAATTTTTTAGAAGTTTTTGTCTTATATACGAAATAATTTCCGTTTTTTAACTCCTGATCGTTTTTGACTAACTCTCATTTACCGGAATTTTAATTTGCATGGTAAATATGATCTTAAAATCAAGTTTTCGCGATTGCTTTAGGATAAGCAAGATAATTTACTGGGACTGTGAAAGTATTTTATCGAAAATGGAAAATCTTATTCCGAAAGGGTATCGCTCAATCCAGGATTTCATGCTCCATTATCATCAAAATAATAGTGTTTCTTGTCACACAGACTATCCCAATGCCCCAGAAGAGGTCATTCCGAATACAGAAAATCCACCAAGATTAGTAGGACAAAAGATTATAGAATCGGAAGGATCCAGAAGAAATTATTATGAGTCTGCTTCTAAATCCAGTATCCATCCAGATGATTTGCCAGATCCTTCTGACTTTTAATCAGAAATTGATTTAATATTATTGTTTTCAAAGCTCGTTAATGCTGACTCAAGTTAGATAGTTAAAATAAGAATTAACAGTTCTTCGTTTAGCCTCTTCTGAAGCATATTTGCTGATTTTAGAAAAATGTTCGACATTTTTCCATTAACAGCTTGGATAATTCATTTGTTATGAAATTTTAGATAGTCACTAGTGGATTGATCTATTTTCATCAAATATTTGTTCGAAATATTTATTATTAGAAATTATTCGGTTTTGAAGCTATGAAGATAGCTTCAATGTGCTTGAGATCCCAGTTCCTTTTGCAGATTTATCCTATATTCAGATTACATTTCAAATTGAATAAAAAACATTGGTATAAGTAAAACGACTATATAAACTAATATTGCTATGCCGAGTAGTTACCAGTGAAGCATTTTTGAAAGTAAAAAAGTCTGCGAATTTTGTATGAAAAATTTTGTGAAATGAACACGATACAAATTGAATGGATAATCGAACATATGTTGTCGGACAAAATTTTTTTCAAAAAAATATAATGACAGAGGCCCCCAAGATTGACCCAACGTTAGCTGGAATGTTCCCATTCGCCTTCCCAGGCGCTGTTGAGGAAAAGGAATCAGTTGAACCACCGCCACTCCATCCAGAGCTTGAACAACTCGGTTTTAACGAACTTTATCAACATGTCTTTGATTCCATGCTTCCAGGAGAGAAGTGCCTTGATTTCCTTAAGAGAGTTAAGGCTAACAATGGCAATCTTGATGATGCTGCTAAATATATTTCTGAACTTTACGCTCGTGGCGAAGTTGATATCTTCGAACGCGACTGGGTATTCCTTGGCATCAGTGCAGGCCGTATTGGCGATATTCTTGAAATGAAATGGAACGTAAAGAACGAAGAAGGTATTACAGGCCCATTCACAAGCCTCGAGTTAGCTCCAAAGGCTCGTGTCCTTGCTGCTATGGATTCTCTTGTTTCTGTTGCCGGAAAAGAAGAGAACTGGCTTCCAATTGATAAATTGAACTTCGCAATGTTAAAACTCTAAACTAATAAAATGTAAAAATGCCTGCTTTAAATACAGCTGTTATAATATTTTACAATATTTTAAATTTTTTATTAGTAGTATGATATGACGGGTTGTGTGACTTTTTTTGTAAACGTAAGAATTCATACAATATCGAGCGATTTTATATCATTTTTTTTAACATATGAAATAAAAAATATATGATTCTTACGGTTTTTATTCTTACGTTTTTGAATAAATCAAGATTTATAAATCATTAAAAAATTAACATTAATTTTAAAATAATTTATTTTTTATCTTTTATAAAAGAAGCTATATATAGATGATGTCAGATATTCCGCGATTAATTAAACATTGTTTAAATCCTGAATGGGTTAAACTTCAATTTAAAAATGAAGATTGTGAATTATTAAATGAATATGAAAGCCAAAATAAGCTAATGATTATTTGAATTTATGAAATCAATTATTTGATTCATTCTTTCTTCAATCTCTTCTATTCTTTTTGTTAAATCATCAATTTTCATTAATGAGGTGATTCTTGATTGAGGAATAGATTTCAAACTAATCACTCCTTTTATTTTTGAAATTTTGAATCGAGAAAGGGACAAACTATCCAGTGTCACTTTTCAAAGGAATAAAAAAAAATAATAAAGATGAAATAATAACATGAAATCTTATATAAATATAATTTTATCTAAATAGATAAATGAATTAAGCAGTTTACAGTTATATATATTTAATGAGAGACAATATCTAGTTCTATGGTAGAAATGACTCTTAGACTCAAATAAGTAACACAGATAGAAAGTACTCAGTATAACAATTATATATGTACACTCAAAGTTAGTCGCTGCTAAAATCTTAACCTTGCATTTCGGGAAAATCTGACAAATGGCTCTTAGACTCAAATAAGTAACACAGATAGAAAGTACTCAGTATAACAATTATATATGTACACTCAAAGTTAGTCGCTGCTAAAATCTTAACCTTGCATTTCGGGAAAATCTGACAAATGGCTCTTAGACTCAAATAAGTAACACAGATAGAAAGTACTCAGTATAACAATTATATATGTACACTCAAAGTTAGTCGCTGCTAAAATCTTAACCTTGCATTTCGGGAAAATCTGACAAATGGCTCTTAGACTCAAATAAGTAACACAGATAGAAAGTACTCAGTATAACAATTATATATGTACACTCAAAGTTAGTCGCTGCTAAAATCTTAACCTTGCATTTCGGGAAAATCTGACAAATGGCTCTTAGACTTGTTTTGATAATTAATTCTTCAATTATATTATAATTTATAACAAATTTCCTCAAACTATCTGTATGTCATTCAATTCCTGGCCACTACATTCAATGATGGACCATTTCCTTCAAATTTTGAAATACCTTATTCAATTTGTTGTATGGAGCCCGTGATATTCAACACTATGGAGCTCCTCCAGTTTGGTATCCAAGAAGAGATAAAAGCTAGCATGGGCTACTCTCAAAAATGCTTGAAGCAATATATTCAAGTTTGCAACAAGGATCAATAGATTCAAATCTTGTTTATTGTACTTTAAAGGTACTTTTAAAAAAGAAACAATTAATGTAAAAGATTCAAATAATTTTTTATTATTATTTTATTAATTTTTTTAAATAAGGTTAATAAAAAGTGACACTGGATAGTTTGTCCCACACTCATTTTGAATCCATCAACTTTAAACATTTTAAGTAGTATATGTTGAGGGTTTTGTGACTTTTTTTGTAAACGTAAGAATTCATACAATATCGAGCGATTTTGTATCATTTTTTTTAACATATGAAGTAAAAAATGTATGATTCTTACGGTTTTTATTCTTACGTTTTTGAATAAATCAAGATTTAAAAAATTTTCAAAATTGTAAGACATTTACACTCAACCCATACATAATGAAATAAAAAAATAAAAAAATTTTTTAAAAATAAACTTTAAAAATTCATGTCTTACATTTTTGAATAATTTATTTTTTTAATTTGTATGAAAATGAGTGTCAAGACTAACGACGTTAAAAAATTGGGATTCACAAATGAGGAAATAAAGGATATATTAGAGGAAGCGGGTTATGAGGTTAGTAAATATTATTTAAGAAATTGTCAAAAATTCGCGGAGTTTTTAAATGAGTTTGATTATGATGGAAAAATGAATAAAGATGATGTTATAAATTTCTTATATCCCACATCTGAAGAAGAAAAACCTAAAGAACCTGATGTTTTCCCTGAATATTATGAAGAACGGATTAAAGATGATGAATATGATGAAATTGAAAGACTGGAAAAAATAAGAGATGAAATAGATGAAAAAATTAAGGAATTAAGAGAAGTTGAAAAATATAATGAAAATGAAGTAGAGGGTTTAATGAATATCCAGCTTCAGAATCAGCAGTTCAGAAATCTCATGAAGAAAGATATAAAAATTATGTCTCAGAATCAACACAAAATTTATTAGATGGTGAAATAGACGAAACACTTTCAGAAGAAGGTACTAAATTTATTCGTAAACATAAGTTACAATTTATTGATAATGAAGAATACCCCTGTATCCTACTTTCACCTCCTCTTGATTCTGAAAAATTCAAAAAAGCACTGAAAAATGTAACATATGCAACAAATACGATTAAGAAAGAAGACCATGATATTTACACAAATTATTATTTAAATAAATGTACAGGTGTTGATAAAGTTTTTGATTTGTTAGATAAAATATCAAAAGAAACAATTGGTACATAAAAATTTTATGCGATTGTGGTTTCATTATTGAAGATACCAATAATGTTTCATATGAAAGAACAGCACCGAAGGAAGACGAAGTTGAAAGGTCTATACCATTCGTTATTAAGAACATAAAAGATATGAAAACTTATAAACATTATATTTATTCATTTATTTCAGAAAAAATGGAAGCAACCCATAAAACATCATCTCATCATTTTATAGCTATTCATACATTCCTTTTCAAAGTTGTGAAATTAAATAAGACAGGAATTAGATTTAATGTATCAGGGTACGCATTCTTGAGTAAATTAAAATGTATTCGTCACGTCGCAGATGATAAAAATTTATGTGTTCTTAATTCATTTTATGGACTTTAGCCCTGGACTCTCTGAGTCTCGGACTTTAAAATAAATAAACTTTATTTTTATTTATTTTTTAATTTTTTTGTTCTTACATAAATGAACAAAAACGGAACAGCTAAAATGAATGATAATCAAATTAGAGCAGAAGGTAGAAGGTTATTTAAACGCTTCTATAACATTCCTGATGGTGTTAATCCTAAAACTCGTAGAAGTTATTTAAACGAAGCAATAGATGCATATGAAGGGTTTGCCATTTCATCAGAAAGTGAGAGGTTAGCAAGAATGTTTAAACGTTAATATTGATTTTTATTATTGTGATCCTCAACCAGAAGACGTAGACATAAATAAGGTAGACTTTCCATTAGTGGAATCAATAATGATAGATCCAGAATTTGAAACAGTAAATATTTTATTAACACAGAGTCCATGTGGAAAACTTCACGCTGACAGAATTACAGACGTTGAAGCACTCACAGGATATAAAGTTTGCCCCTTTTGCAAAGAAGAAGTATATTCTATCCGTGATGATCCAGAAAGGAAAAACCAAAGAAGATTTTTAAAACATTGTGAGAAATGTAAAGAAAAATAATGGAAGATTAATTCAAGACGTTCAATTGCAAAACACACAACAACCATATGCACCACATATCACGAAACAGAAGATATATCAATGGCTATTAGCACATAATTTGCAGGAATATTATAAACCAACAAGATATTATATTACTTTTGACTTCGAAACATTAGAGACTAAAGAAGAACTTCAACTTTCTGAATGTGCAACTTTGAACGCTTACTTAAAACCATTTATGGTATCATCAACTGTCAAAATAAAGCCGCAAAGCGGCGAGGTCGTAGACCGTGATAAAACATTTACGAGGAATTTTTGCTTAACTTCGAGTGATTCTTTTATTTCTGATTGGATTGAGTTTTTATTTTCAACCTGTTCATTAGTTGCTAAATCAAATATTGAACAATATGAAGAATTAATGAAGCCGCAAACGGACCAAACGGCGGGGACTTTGTCTCATACATTAAATGAGAAACAAAAGGAAGCATTTAAAGAACTTCTAGATGAAGAATTTAATAAAGTGAATATCATAGGTTTTAATTCGGGAAAGTTTGATTTAAATTTAATTCTTCGTGATTTAAACACTGCAAAATGGAAAATAAAATCAATGCTGGGTTCATCTTCACAATTTAAGCAAATCATTGTAAAGAAAACAAACTGTCCATATGAATTAAGATTTATTGACATCAGAAATTATATAGCGGGTGGGACATTAGACCAATTCACTCAAGATTTCGGAAACAATAAATCACGTGTTAAATCCTTTTTCCCTTATCAATTCATCACGTGGGAAAATTACGAAGATGAATTATATAAAAAGGAACCATTCACGAAAGATTTATTTTATTCAGCATTAACTCAAGAAACAATATCCGATTCAGATTATCAAATATATCTCAATGATGCTAAAAATTTTGAGAATAGATTAGAATATTTTATTCATTATTGCAATAAAGACGTTGAAATTATGATTGACCCAATTGATAAAATTATCGAAGAAACATTTGTTTATAAAATTGACATGCTTCATAATCTTTCTTTATCATCGAATGCATCAATGATTCGTTACGCGTTAGCATATAAGAACTTCAATCCTAACGAAACATATCCAGAAGAAGAAAATGTGGAATCAAGTTTTGAATTAACGAAAAAGTATTGGAAATATAAAATTGAATCATATAAGAAACAAGATGAAAAAGCAGAAAGGGATACTAAAAACAATGTTTCAATGGATGACTATCAATACTATCACGATTTAATCCTTTCATCTAAATGCAAAATGTGTGGTAAAGCGTTTACATATGCTAATAAACCAACATTGGATAGAATCGATAATGAAAAACCACATACCAAAGAAAATTGTCAGTTAATGTGTTGTTATTGCAATGTCGTAAAATCAAATAAAGATGAAGATGTTCAACGTTTAAGAATCAATTTAAGAAATTATGCATTAAAAAATAATTTACCAATGACTTTAGATTCGGTTGAAGCTTATCACATTCTCCGTAATGGAATTACTGGTGGTCTATCAAATGTTCAACATCGTGTTAATCTTAAAGGAATCACGCACATTAATAAACTTTCATATAGTCCAGAAACTAAAACTGTATCAAATGAGGACACCACCAACATTATGACTCATTTCGTTGGAGTTGACTTTAATTCATTATATCCTTCATCATTTTCATCTAATCCTCATGATTTCATTCAATATACTGACCATAAAATGTATATGCCGGGAAGATTGAATGGTGTTATCATTTGTGATACAGCAACAAAGAAAGCAAAAGCACTGGGAATTATTAAGAAGAAAAATACTTTATTCGTGGCTGAAGTAAAGGGTCACATTGATGAAAAATACATTAATGATTACATAAACTTTTTACCAATAATAAGAAACTTAGATATTATCACAGATGAAAAAACAATTGGCAGTTTTATGTATAATTACATGAAATCAAACAATCTACCAGTTGACCAGAAACAGAGAAAATTAACTCAGTTAGCATCAACACACAACCAATATCAAACCATTTTCTCTCTTATTATCTTTGGTATCTAATAGACAGATTTCATTTTATCATTGATGATATTCAATCAATTTTAACATTTACGAAAAACACTTGCTTTAATGAATTTGCGAACGAATTTATGAACGAAAGACAAAAGGCTGAATTAGAAGGAAATAAAGGAAAAAGTTTATTTTGCAAGATTTCACTTAATGGATCATATGGTTACGATGCAATGAATACACAAAATTACGCAAAGACTAAAATAATGAATGCACAGAAGGCACGCGTTGCATGTATGTCAATAAGTTTAAAAACATAAGATAGATAGGTGAAGATACGTATCAAGTGATGCTTAAAGATAGATTTTATAGATGTGATACATGTTTACAAGAGGCATTCTTCACTTTAGATAACGCAAAATACTGGTATTTGGTTTTCATTTATGATTTTATGTATAAATGCATGAATGTTAATCGTTTTCATTTCATTGAAGGTGATACTGATTCATCTTATTGGGCAATCGCTGGCGACCCAAATCTTCCTAACACTCAAGCATTTCAAGCAATTGTTACTGATAAACAATTTTATGATAAAAACATTTACAAATTCGCACCTTTTGATTTCTTTTGTTTTGATGAGAAATTTAAACCTAAATTAAAGAATAAAGCTGAAGAAAAAGCACATGAGAAAAGTTATTGGGTTTAGCAATTGAGAAACAAGGTGATAACATGGTTGCTTTATGCCCCAAGTGTTATACATCATTCAACGGTTCAATTGATGGAAGTGATTTTAAAAAGATTGCACAAAAAAATGAAAGGAGTTAGTTTACGACAAAATAAACAATTAACACCTAAAAATTATTTGGATATAATAAATGATAAAGTGATATTTGATGGTCAGAATATTAATTTACAACTTAAAAATGGGTCAATGACTCGCTTAACAATTGGTAAGACTGCATTAACAGGAGCACACACTAAGGCTGTGTGTTGTGAAAATGGATGTTGTATGCCATTTATTTAATAAAATGCCACAGAAGAGACAAAAGGAACCGTTAATGATGTTTTTGATACTATGATTCAAAGAGGTGGGCACCCTTAAAACATTTATTTTATTTTTATATAAATGGATAACTCAGATTTAGAAAATTTAATTGATGATTTAGTACTTAATCAAAAATTTCTTAGTTATTATGAATTAAAATCATATCTCCAAAAATATAATAATAATATAACGGGTGATGATATGGAATATTATTATCCATATTATGAAAATGAAATTTTGAAATATCATGATAAAATAATTTCTAAATTAAAGACAAAATTAAAAATAATGAATATTCAAAGGGAAAAACTAAATCACAACTTAAACAATTGAAAGATTTTAAAAATAAAGTATTAACAGAAGAAGATATTGATGAATTATATAAATTATATAATCCTGAGCCGCAAAAGCAAAAGGAGCAAAAACAAAAGGTGCAAAACGCCCAGGTCCTTCAGACCATAAATGAAGCACAAGCTTTAATTTATGATTCATTAGTTAAACCATATTCAGCCCGATTTTAAATGAAGATCAACTTTTGGAATTCATCCTTCAACATAAACTCGAAGCGGGAAAGTATATTAAACCTTTATATACAGCATATTTAAAACAAATGAATAGAATACATCCAGAATTAATGAAGGAAGGAATGAATTCCAAAATCAAAGCAGATAAAATTAAACCACTTGCAACACCAAAACCTCTAACGACAGTACCTGCAACACCAAAACCACCTCCTCCTTCAGTTAATCCTTCATCATTCACTTTATTATATCCATTTCAAACATTAAAGAAACAAAAAGATTTTAAAAAGGATTTCAAGATATTAAATAAACCAATTGACCCAAAAATTCAACCGTTAAAGGAAAAATTTGGTCGCCCTTCATTTGCACCATATCCATATTCATATGAAATCGATCATTGAATATTCAAAAGGAAACGTTACTTATTTATTTACCATTAACATTAACACCAGATATTTATATTGCATTCCAGTGAAAGGGAAAACAGAACAGGAAACAAGAAGAGCTATTCAATACTTACTAGATCATGAAAGAGTAGATAATATCAGGGGTGATGGTGATAAAGGATTTCAGGCAGCTATGACTCATTATTTCCCACAAATTAATTTTTACTTTTCATCCTCTCCATATACGTTTCATAATAAAATAGTTGATGCGGTAATGAGAACTCTTAGAGATGCGTTAGGGGTTAACGGTCAGATATACTGGGATGGAAATCATGACTCCATCATACAACAGTTAGTATATTATTACAATAATACATGGCATAGAACAATAAACATGAAACCAGTGGAAATGAAAAATGATATTTCAAAAGAATGGGAATATTAGAAAGCAAATGGAAAGGTTGAATGATGTTAAACGTGAACAAATTAATTCGGGGCTCATGAATTTTAAACAAGGGGATAAAGTTTTGATTCATCTCGATTATGGAAAAACTGATAAATCAATGACAAAAAGAAGACGAAGATTTGACACAATAGCTGAATTTGTTAGATATATTAACGGCAATGCATTAGTTGAGGTTAACAATAAATTAATAGAAATTCCGATTTATTTTATTACTCCATTATATTTAAATAATATTTAATTTTTTTATTTCGTAAGAAATGAGTGACAACGAAGCATCCAAGAGTCCAGACAATGAATATAAAAAAAACTAAACAGAATTAAATCAAAAATATGCTATTACAAAAAGAAGCCACAATGCGGTGGGGTTGAAAACGATAAAGAGAGGAAAGAAATAATCGAAAAATTAGAAACTTACCGTTCAATCCTTAAACTGAGTGAAGTAAAAATAAAAGAATTTAATAGAATAAATAAATTGATTGGAAGAGATGAATTTAATAAAGATGAATTTTTAAACTCAATCCAAATTTAATTTTTATTCCTCTTCGACAACATCTCTCTTTCCATCATTACTGCATAACCACATTTTCTCAGTTTTAGTGGTTTGTTATTTTTAACATGTTCTTGCATCATTTTTATCATTTCCTCCCTTGTTATGATTCGTGGTAAATTTTGAGCTTGTGGGGTATTCATTTATGTTAAAAATAAAAATTTAAATTATGCCGTTCTAAAGTTTGAGACAACATGACATTTTGACAACAACACAGGAGGAAGGTATTTATGCATGTTGTCACAATTTTTCAGAGAAGTTAAATAACCGAGTGACACTGAGTGACGTAGTGACACCTTCAGTTCTTCAAAAATAATTAATTATTGAATAACCTGAAATCATTAACGTAAACATTAACAATAACACATATTTCCAGTGATGTTGTCAAAATGTCATGTTGTCACAATTTTTCAGAGAAGTTAAATAACTGAGTGACACTGAGTGACGTAGTGACACCTTCAGTTCTTCAAAAATAATTAATTATTGAATAACTGGGGAAATGAATTTACGTCAAATGTGCAATTTATAAAATCTTATGTCGACGAGCGTTCATTGAACTCTATACCATGCGTAAACTGTCATAAATGGTGGCATGTAGTCTTTACTTTGTCCCGTTGTTTGCGTATATCCTGAAACGCGATGTGTATGGTTTCCTTCTCCCTGAGTGTCACTCCAGTAACAATTTATGGCAAACTTAACGTTGTCTTTAACATCATATCCTTTACCTTTTGTCATTCCTGACCAATCCCAATATCTATGCTTATGCCAACCCGCTTGAGATGTGCTTAAATCTATGTAGTGACTGTGTGCAGGTAAATTTTCACCTGTAATCGTTTTACTTCCACCTGTTTCCTTTGAAGAGTTAGCACAATACAAAAACCTGTCGACTATTTGAGTCCAAGTTCCAAAACCAAGTACTACTTCTGGATTTGTTGAGTTCATTGACGTATAAATAGAGCCTATAGGATATAATGTTTGAAGTATTTCTGTCTTTAATGTTTGAAGCTCTGTTTTATCTGCTTTCTTGTCATATAAATCTTGAGCAGTGAATTTAATATTATGTTCATCCTTCATGACATAAACATCTTTACATCTAATGTTTCTCATCGTCGTTATGTCGTCATCCGATGTTAAACCTTGTGGAAAGTTAGGAGGTTTACAATATAATGCATCCCCACCAGTTTCTTCAACCGTTCCTTCAATACTTTCTATAGCAACAGTTGTAAAACTTGTATGTGTATGAGTCTTATTTGCTTTCTTCTCTAACTCATCGTTAACATAAGTTTTATCCGCTTTAAGGTCTAAACATTCTGAAACCCATCCTGTATCAGCTTTAGTTTTTAAAATCTTCGATGTCCGTTCATGGTACCAGTCAACCCTTTCTATAATTTCATTATCTTTTTCATTAACATATTCCTTATCTGCTTTCTTCATTAACACACTAGCCACAAGTCCCTTATCTGCCTTCTTCATTAATTCACTTACCACATATTCCTTATCTGCCTTCTTCATTAATTCACTTACCACATATTCCTTATCTGCCTTCTTCATTAATTCACTTACCACATATTCCTTATCTGCCTTCTTCATTAATTCACTTACCACATATTCCTTATCTGCCTTCTTCATTAACTCACTATCCACATATTCCTTATCTGCCTTCTTCATTATGTCATTTAGGAAACCTTCTATGAATTCCTCATTTAAATTAAATCTTCCAATCTTCAAAACTTTAGGAAATGCATTTAATGCGTAATATCTTTGTTCTTCTGGTGGAATTGATGTTATATCATCCGTTATACCTTTAATTTTTGAATTCATAAATAAAATTTCTTTTATATTTGATATCACTGCACCACCCTTGCAAACGAATTCAAAATGGTCATTTTTCAATACTATCTCCAAATCTCCATATTTCAACCTTTGTTTGTTCTGCCGTCTTTGAATTATATGCATATGTGGCGTAAGTAATGGTCTGTGCCTTAAGTTGCTGTGGTTGCTGTTGTTTAATCATTTATTATGATTTAAAAATAAATATTTAATCTGTTATCTCATCAGCTATTTTTTCTATTTGAAATTGCCATAATATTTCATTCATAAATTCTAAATCACAATCAAATAGGTCAGTTATTCTAAATTTAATATTTGATAAATCTTTTGAATGAAGAATAAATGAATTCCCGGATAATTGAAACGGATATGATAAAGAAAATATGTTTAAGTTGATGGATAAAATGTTTTGTATTGATGGGTAAGAGTTAGGGTCTAATGTTTGATGTGAAAATCTCATTGGGGTATTAACTTTATCACATTTGATTAAAATGAAATTGGAACCAGTGTCAGAATACAAAACATCCCCAACATCTTTTTCAAAATTTAATATCCCCAACAATGAACGAAGATGAGGAGTACAAAATTTAATTTTCAGCGGGAATTTAATAAGGTTATTTATTTCATCAAGTTCAAAAAGTTTATCAGGTTTTGATTTAAAATTTTCTTCATACCATACGATAAATGATTCATTTAAATAACTTAAAATTGTGTTAATATCCCATTTCGTTATCACATTATTTATATACATATCATACGTTTTTTCAAGGTCATCTTTAATAAATGATATATAATCTGAAGGGTCTAAAAGAATGGGATTAAATTTACCACTCACAGAAACGAGAGTAACATTATAAATTCCGCTAACTGTTAAATTTAATTCACAACTATTATTCGAAATAATATTGATAATTGACATTTTTATTACGATTAAAAATATGGTAAAGCGTTATTTTCCAGTGATAAATAAAACTAGAATAAGATTACCTCAAGAATTCATAAATTCAACGAATAAGAAATTCATTCATGTTATAAATTTCAGTGTTTTCAGAAAATATGAGTCAATGTCATATTCATCATCGGGTTATATTTCACTTCATTCAAATTTAGTTCAATCAAACCCATATAATGACCATTTCATAAGATTTTCAGATGGTATTAAAAATGTAATTGATAGATTAAAATATGAACAGATTGACAATATCGAATTTTTGGAATTTTGGTTTAAATATCCTGATGGAAAAAAGATTGAAGTTAAAGATAAAGCTGATACTATAACAAAAACAATTACAATGACCGATCCAGATAGTGGGGAACAAAAAGAAATAAAACAAACGATAGAAACTGGTGAAAGGTCAATTATTATTGATTATGATTCAAAGGATTATTATTCAATAATGTTAATGCTTGAATATTAAATGGCCTTAACAAAGAATTTTTCAAGTGATATTTTATATTCATCAACTATTTTATTATAAATATCATTATATGTTAAATGAAGTTCAGTTGTTGTTCCGTTCTTTGATATCTTAATTGTGCTAATATCCTTTATAGGATTTATTTTTGCAACTGTTCCGCAGCATGAAACCTCATCATCTATGAAAAATTGAATCTTAACGTCTGAATCTTGAACATCACAAAGAATGGCGATAATGTGAATTAATGATTCATAAGGTAAAATAATTAAACCGGATTGATCAATTAAATTTATTATTGAATCATAATTATCAGTTATTATATCACGGTAAATTTTCATTAATTCAGAATTAATGTCTATTTTATATGGCGCATTGCGACTGGAATCGTATATTCCTGGGTTCTCGATGTTTGATGAAAGAGGTGGGGGGTATGTTGGATAGTGGGGATTTCAACGGGTTCTTTACCGGGTTCAGATAAAATGATTGGGTCTCCATTCTCATGGTTTTCTTCATTCTCCTCATTCTTCGGTAAGTCACGAGTTAATAAATTTGGTTGAGTTGCTGACCTTGTTAATTCAGGGCTAACATTAACTTTAACATTTTGAATAATTCGTGATTTATCATCATTTACGTTATAACCAACCGTAATCTCTGCTTTTGCGTTAGTGTTCTTTTGACTTGTGAAACGTCTTCTCATTTATAATTGAATAAAAAAAGAAAAATATATTTAAAGTTTTATTTAGTTGTTACGGTAATATCCCAAGGTTCATCATTGTTTGCTTATACTTTCTTTGTAACTGCACCAATTATGTTATTGATATTGCTTTGAGTTTCTTCCAGTCTTATTTTATCATTTACAATATCTTTAATCATTTCATTACATGCATTCTTAAAACCATCTGATTTTTCTAATTTACGTCTATCACTTTCTTTAATTAAATCAAAGTTATAACCTTGTTGAGAATAAAGTGGTTTCTTTATCAATTCCTTGAACGCTTCTGCAAGTGAAGATGAAGAAATTCTTGCCACTTGAATTGGTTTAAATTCTGCTTTCATTGCTTCTTTCTGTTCATTGAACACTGGATCGAATAAAGCAACTTTAAAGAATTTCTTAGCTGGAATTTCAGGTCTCAAATTTGCATATTGACCATCAAACTGATTAACATATCGTGGTAATCCATCCGGTCCTTCTTCAATAGCGTTTAATTCTTCATTGAAATAAGAATATGGATTATGACGGTATGAATTAATTGGACCATGTTCACCTTCTCCAATGTATTGTTTAACAGCTTTTCCATTTTCATCAAATTGCATAGGATAACATTCATTATATGCTTTACGTTTAGGATAATCAGATACAGTTAATTTGTAACCATTTATGACTTTAATATTACCTCGACCATCAGTAACGAAAACTTCATTTATACCATCAGGTTTTCCATTTGGACCCGTAATGTCTGCTTCATATGCTTCCCAATTTGGACCATGACGTTTGGCATATGCTTGAGCTTCTGGTAATGTTAAAACGTTTCTCATTTGTTTTACATCCTTTTGAAGACCAGCAACAATATGAACTAATTCTTTCATTCCGTCTGGAACTTTCATAGTTCTATTATATGCACCCCCCTTTTTGTTTGTCCCTTGTTTTAATGGAACCTGTAAAAGATTTGCTATTTCTGTCATGTTTAATTATAAATAAAAAATAAAAATTAATTATAAAAAGTTAATCAAATTTAACACATCCTTTATTTAAATCAACTATTATTTTTCCATGTTCACCTAATTGCTGATATTGTGTGTAAAGTTCATTAATGCTCATTGGTAAATTCACTTGATAAAGCATAACGTTCAACTGTTGACGACTAAAACCACTGAAAATGAAAAGTGTTGATAGATTTGATTTAATGTTTGTGCTTAATGCTTTGAAGTATTGAACAGCCATGAAGAATGAACACTGAATGTGTCGACATTGAGTTAATAACTGATTAAAATATGATTTCTCATTTGTGATTAGTTTTGATTTCACCGCATCATCTAGAAAAATGAGTGAATGCAAAAATTCTCTATCAAAATTTGAAATAGAAAGTGTTTCAAATAATTCATCCCGTTGTTTATCAATAATTTTATCCTCTAATCCTTGCTTCTTGATTGTATTATATAATTCTTTATACATTAAAAAGTTTTTTAAATAATCTTCTGCTTCTTCTTGTGATAAATAAATAATTGGAATTTTGATTAAATGCTTTAAAGATTCAAATGTATCATCTGAAGGTGAACCTGAACGGTTGATATAAATTAACACATGTGAATGGGGGGAAGTGTTAGCAATAATGATAATTTGTTTTAATATCGTTAATGTTTTACCTTTATTTTGTTTACCAATTGCTGCAGTGATTGAATTTAAGTAACATTCAGAATATGGAATTTTCATTAATTTTTCCTTAGATAGAGCATTTCTATTATCACTCAATGCTTCATTAATCATATCATCTACGTATGTATTATATACTCCCGCTAATTCTTCAGAATTTAAATCCATTTAATCAAAAATAAATTTATAATTTTAACATTTCTATTCATCAATATTTCATCATATGAACTTCTATACTGGTGGTGTACCTGTTGGATGATATTTCAAACCTTCATCCGGTGTCCATGTCCAATACGTAGTCCTAGTAAAAAACCTGAGGAGGATTTGTCACCTTTGAACAGTAAGTGTCATTTACACCCTGAATGATTGGATAAGCTTTCACTTGTACTGTAACTTGTGAGTTGAAAGTTTCTAATCCATCAAAGAATATACCCGCTCCATCACGTTGAACTGGAATAGTGCATAAGAATGAAGTTTGGTCTTTCCATGTTCTAGCTAATGGCGTGCCATCATCATCATTCAGTGGTCTAGTTAATGAGTCCTCGTATTCTTCTGTGCATTCATTCACTCCATCTAAATCAGAAGCTTGAAGCATACGTGTAAAGAATATGTCACCCACTGTGGTCATCGCTTGATCGGGGAAGTTTCTGGAATCTATAGTGACCTGAAGACCTCGAAGCATTGGATTTTCTAAAACTGTTCTTTGCATTGCATTCTTCGGAAATGCTAACACAACATCTGTAACATTATGAAGAGCGTATGAGAAATCTGAGCTAATACCTTCAGGAGTGATGCAACCTCCATTTAGTGAACGAACGTCAATATGTTGAGCTGGAATCATGAATGGATCTTCCTTACTGAATAAACGTGGTATTGCTTTAACTGATTCTTCAATTAAACCGTATCCTGGTGTAATACATTTATCCTCTAAAACTTCCATCTTTGTGCATGAAATAATAACATCATCAACTGTTGCGTCAGCAGATGTAGCGGCTAAGCTTGTAATTAATTTGGCAGGAAGTCCGATTTGTTGGAATTTGCGATCATATTTATAAACATGATTCATAATCTTTTCATAATTTTCATCAGTTATCTTTTCATAAACGTAATTTTGTAAATCAGCAACTCTTAACGGGTCAACCTGACAAAATACTAAAGTATCCCTGAAAACATAATATTTAAGAATGATTTCACCAAATGATTTAGGATAATCATCGAACGCCTGAAATGCTAACAAATCATTTACCGGAATAATCATATCAAAAGTGATATCAACTTCTTCATTTGCTTTCTTGAAAACTTCTGAAGGGTCAATATATTTACCACATACTGAGTTATCATATTTTTGAACATTATTATATAACGAATGAACAAACTTTTTAACTTTCCTTTCTGATTTTGGTTTATATGTTGCAAATGCGAAAGATTCACGGCGCAATCCATCTGAAGATAACCGGCATCACCTCTTTCGGTTTCTACTTCTAATTGTTTAAAGCTTTGATTTGATGATTTGTAACCAACGAATAAACGCATACATTTAAAAGCGGCATCACATGTGAAAGCTTTATTTGAAACTAGAGTTGCTTTAACTTTGCGTTTAATATATGTGTCACCTAATTGGTTCACATCATGAGCCGGATTTGTAATTCTTAAATGAGTTTGTTTATCATCAAAATATGGAGCATCAGAGTCATAGCATGAACTTTCAAGTTCTCTATAATATCTTCTTCCGTCATTCTTTGCGAATATTTCATTTATCTTTTCGAATGAATGAAATACATTTCCATTAATTGGTTTAGTGTTTGGCACCAAATAGTTAGTCGTCATTTATTATTAAATAAAAAAATCAAAATTGAAAGATGAAAATGAATTTTTTAATTTTAATGAAATAATCAACTATGGCTGCAGGATTCTTTAAGAAACTGTGGGATAAAGTAAAAAGAGGAGCGCATAAAGTTTGGGAAACAATGAAGAAAGGAGCAAATTGGATATTTAAGAATAAAGAAGCAATTAGTGACGTTGCTGAATCAATAACACCAAAAGCTGCCCCAATAAGAGAAATTTTAAATAAAGGAGAAAAAGTTTATCAAAGACTACAACCAATACTAAGATAAAAATAATATTTATTTATTTTTCCACTATTTACCCCTATTTTATTAAGTATTCCTTCAGCAATTCCACCAATTGCGTTACCTGCTTGTGCTCCCATCGCCGGATTACCTGCTTTAGTACCTAATACTCCACCTATGATAGTTCCTGCCGTTTTCGCTACTGGTGCCAAAAAGTTTGCAACAGGTTTAATAACCTTTTTATAAACCCAACCGCAGCTTTCTTAATTCCATCCCATAATTTTTTAAAGAATCCTGCCGCCATTTCTGATTTAATATTAATTAAAAAATATATTTCATCACTTATATTCTAATTTTTATTTAATGATAAATGAAACCGATTTTAAAAATAAATGAAACAGAGGAGGAAGAAATAAATGAAAGTGAAAATGTTCAACAAAAAATAAACGTTGTTAAACCAATTACTGAAATAAAAATTTTTTCATCTGTTGAAGAATTTAATGACTATTATGCTAATAATAAAAAATTATTTGAAGAATTGACAACATGTAAATTGAATAAAATGTTTAAAGTTGATGGATTCAAAATTTCAAAAATAAAAGGAGTGGTTAGTTTGAAATCTATTCCCCAATCAAGAATCACCTCATTAATGAAAATAGATGATTTAACAAAAAGAATAGAAATTATTGAAGAGCGAATAAATCAAATTATTGATTTCATAAATCATGACTCGTTGAGCCCGGGTCCTTAAAGCCCATCACTGAGTTCAAGGTTATATTCATCAAATATTTCATTATTAAATGCAACTTCTGCTAGTTTATTTATTTTTTCAATACGATCATTTGAAAGTCTATCGTTTAATTTTTTCTGAAGTTTTTCATTTTCTAGTTCTGAAACTTTATTTGGATGATATTTAAACCCGTTAAATTCTTTTTCCTCAGTTTTGATCATTAATTTACAAAGAACTTTTGTGGTTGGAATTCGTTTAAACCATTTATCATTAATATTTGTTATATATTCAATATCTGGAATTAATTCCCAAATTTTTGCATTTTCAATTAATTTATTATCAAATGCAAAAGCAATAGGTTTAATATTAAACTTACCTTTATAATATAAACTTTCTACATAATCATCGAAATAAACATCTACTTGTTTAACATTTTCAAGAATTGGTGAAAGAGCATCCATTAATTGATTGACGGTTACGAATCTTGATCCACTCATTTTCATACAAATTAAAAAAATAAATTATTCAAAAATGTAAGACATGAATTTTTAAAGTTTATTTTTAAAAAATTTTTTTATTTTTTTATTTCATTATGTATGGGTTGAGTGTAAATGTCTTACAATTTTGAAAATTTTTTAAATCTTGATTTATTCAAAAACGTAAGAATAAAAACCGTAAGAATCATACATTTTTTACTTCATATGTTAAAAAAAATGATACAAAATCGCTCGATATTGTATGAATTCTTACGTTTACAAAAAAAGTCACAAAACCCTCAACATATACTACTATTTTATTCAATTTACATGTTGTCAATTCTTCAAATAATTTTTTATTATTAGCATAATAGTCATTAAATTCTTCAATAGATGAAAAAATTTTTATTTCAGTAATTGGTTTAACAACATTTATTTTTTGTTGAACATTTTCACTTTCATTTATTTCTTCCTCCTCTGTTTCATTTATTTTTAAAATCGGTTTCATTTATCATTAAATAAAAATTAGAATATAAGTGATAAATATATTTTTTTAATTAATATTAAATCAGAAATGGCGCAGGATTCTTTAAAAAATTATGGGATGGAATTAAGAAAGCTGCGGGTTGGGTTCATAAAAAGATTATTAAACCCATTGCAAACTTTTTGGCACCAGTAGCGAAAACGGCAGGAACTATCATAGGAGTATTAGGTACTAAAGCAGGTAATCCGGCAATGGGAGCACAAGCAGGTAACGCAATTGGTGGAATTGCTGAAGGAATACTTAATAAAATAGGAGGTAGATAGTGGAAAAATAAATTATTTTAAAATTATTTTTACTTAGTATCGGTTGTAGTCTTTGATAAACTTTTTCTCCTTTATTTAAAACTTCTCTTATTGGGGCAGCTTTTGGTGTTAATTGATTCAGCAACGTCACTAATTGCTTCTTATTTCTTAAATATCCAATTTGCACCCTTCTTCAATGTTTCCCAAACTTTACTCGCTCCTCTTTTTACTTTATCCCATAATTTTTTAAATATACCTGCAGCCATAGTTGATTATTTCATTAAAATTAAAAATTCATTTTCATCTTTTAATTTTTGATTTTTTATTTATTAAATAAATGACGACTAACTATTTGGTGCCAAACACTAAACCGATTAATGGAAATGTGTTTCATTCATTCGAAAAGATAAATGAAATATTCGCAAAGAATGACGGTAGAAGATATAGGGTGTCCAAAAGGTGTGTTTAGCACAAACCTGAATACTGCGAATAGAAATAAACAAGTTACATATATATAAAGTTTATTTAAATATAATCACCATTGATTCAATCACGCGTTCGCAGCGATCGATCCAGGCTTGAAAGACACGCTTTAAATCATCATGAGAAAATTGCTCAAATTCTCTCTTACAAAATTTTCAAGATCATCTGACTCGCGAATTCGCGTCCTTCAGCTCTCTTTTTTAGCGTGCCGAATAAATAAAGTCAGAGGGTGCAATATCAGGTGAATAAATTGGGTTTGGAACAACTTTGACATTGTTTTCCACAAGTAATTCATTACCTTATGACTTTTGTGAACTCTTGAATTATCAAAATGAATTGCAAACTTTGTTTTTGTTGTTTTGGATTTCTCAAACTCATCAGAATTGATAATTTGAGTAAGAACATTGTCAATTAGATACTGAGCATTCATCGTATTAGGTTTTTGAAGAATATCAATTGCGATGATGCCATTCACGCCCCAAAAAACCGACAACATCATCATTGGTGTGTCAATTTTTTTCTTCGGGAATGTTTGCGGATTTTCATCCTTCGGGATCCACATGATTTTGGCTTCTGTTGCATATTGAAACCAAGACTCGTCCCTGTTACTAAAAAGCGAAACTTCTTGGATTTGATACGCACCCAATATAGAGAGGAGCTCTTTCGAAGATTGGACTCTAGATTTTTTTTTGAACTGAATTAAGGTTGTGCGGAACCCAACGTGTATACGCTAGTTTGTAGTTCAAATAATTGTGCAGATAATAACTGACTGTTGTACGTGGTATATTTGTCATCTCCTCTATCCTTCTGAGTGATGCTCTTGGTCTTCATCTAGCGCTTGAAGAATTGCTTTGATTTTTCTTTGATCCGGCGATTTTTTGTCAATTTTTATGATGGGCGCCTTTTTGTTCATGAAGTGATACATCCTAACATGTACGTTACAGTGGAATAGCTAGGAGCATCCATACGAAGCAATTTACCAATGTCTCGTAGATTTTTTTACAGTCTTTTGCATTTTTTTGCAAGAGCGAGGATGTTTTCTTTATGATTCATTAAAAAAATGAAAAAAAATCCCGCCAAAATTTCCCGCGAAACCGCCTCTTGTCTCAAAATTCATTTTATATACCGGCATGGCGCCAAAATACAACATACTCATCATATACATATATTCATATTTTTTATTATATATTTATAATCAGCATATATCTCCTTTAATAGTCTCATATAGAGCGCTGTGCTAAACGCACCTTTGGACACCCTATATTATAGAGAACTTGAAAGTTCATGCTATGACTCTGATGCTCCATATTTTGATGATAAACAAACTCATTTAAGAATTACAAATCCGGCTCATGATGTGAACCAATTAGGTGACACATATATTAAACGCAAAGTTAAAGCAACTCTAGTTTCAAATAAAGCTTTCACATGTGATGCCGCTTTTAAATGCATGCGTTTATTCGTTGGTTACAAATCATCAAATCAAAGCTTTAAACAATTAGAAGTAGAAACTGAAAGAGGTGATGCCGGTTATCTTCAGATGGATTGCGCCCGTGAATCTTTCGCATTTGCAACATATAAACCAAAATCAGAAAGGAAAGTTAAAAAGTTTGTTCATTCGTTATATAATAATGTTCAAAAATATGATAACTCAGTATGTGGTAAATATATTGACCCTTCAGAAGTTTTCAAGAGAGCAAATGAAGAAGTTGATGTCACTTTTGATATGATTATTCCGGTAAATGATTTGTTAGCATTTCAGGCGTTCGATGATTATCCTAAATCATTTGGTGATATCATTCTTAAATATAGGGTGTCCAAAGGTGTGTTTAGCACAAACCTGAATACTGCGAATAGAAATAAACAAGTTACATATATATATAAAGTTTATTTAAATATAATCACCATTGGATTCAATCACGCGTTCGCAGCGATCGATCCAGGCTTGAAAGACACGCTTTAAATCATCATGAGAAAATTGCTCAAATTGCTCTCTTACAAAATTTTCAAGATCATCTGGACTCGCGAATTCGCGTCCTTCAGCTCTCTTTTTTAGCGTGCCGAATAAATAAAAGTCAGAGGGTGCAATATCAGGTGAATAAATTGGGTTTGGAACAACTTTGACATTGTTTTCCACCAAGTAATTCATTACCTTATGACTTTTGTGAACTCTTGAATTATCAAAATGAATTGCAAACTTTTGTTTTTGTTGTTTGGATTTCTCAAACTCATCAGAATTGATAATTTGAGTAAGAACATTGTCAATTAGATACTGAGCATTCATCGTATTAGGTTTTTGAAGAATATCAATTGCGATGATGCCATTCACGCCCCAAAAAACCGACAACATCATCATTGGTGTGTCAATTTTTTTCTTCGGGAATGTTTGCGGATTTTCATCCTTCGGGATCCACATGATTTTGGCTTCTGTTGCATATTGAAACCAAGACTCGTCCCCTGTTACTAAAAAGCGAAACTTCTTGGATTGATACGCACCCAATATAGAGAGGAGCTCTTTCGAAGATTGGACTCTAGATTTTTTTTGAACTGAATTAAGGTTGTGCGGAACCCAACGTGTATACGCTAGTTTGTAGTTCAAATAATTGTGCAGATAATAACTGACTGTTGTACGTGGTATATTTGTCATCTCCTCTATCCTTCTGAGTGATGCTCTTGGGTCTTCATCTAGCGCTTGAAGAATTGCTTTGATTTTTCTTTGATCCGGCGATTTTTTGTCAATTTTTATGATGGGCGCCTTTTTGTTCATGAAGTGATACATCCTAACATGATACGTTACAGTGGAATAGCTAGGAGCATCCATACCGAAGCATTTTACCAATGTCTCGTAGATTTTTTTACAGTCTTTGCATTTTTTTGCAAGAGCGAGGATGTTTTCTTTATGATTCATTAAAAAAATGAAAAAAATCCCGCCAAAATTTCCCGCGAAACCGCCTCTTGTCTCAAAATTCATTTTATATACCGGCATGGCGCCAAAATACAACATACTCATCATATACATATATTCATATTTTTTATTATATATTTATAATCAGCATATATCTCCTTTAATAGTCTCATATAGAGCGCTGTGCTAAACGCACCTTTGGACACCCTATATTATGTTTTCAGGGATACTTTAGTATTTTGTCAGGTTGACCCGTTAAGAGTTGCTGATTTACAAAATTACGTTTATGAAAAGATAACTGATGAAAATTATGAAAAGATTATGAATCATGTTTATAAATATGATCGCAAATTCCAACAAATCGGACTTCCTGCCAAATTAATTACAAGCTTAGCCGCTACATCTGCTGACGCAACAGTTGATGACGTTATTATTTCATGCACAAAGATGGAAGTTTTAGAGGATAAATGCATTACACCAGGATACGGTTTAATTGAAGAATCAGTTAAAGCAATGCCACGTTTATTCAGTAAGGAAGATCCATTCATGATTCCAGCTCAACATATTGACGTTCGTTCACTAAATGGAGCTTGCATCACTCCTGAAGGTATTAGCTCAGATTTCTCATACGCTCTTCATAATGTTACAGATGTTGTGTTAACATTTCCGAAGAATGCAATGCAAAGAACAGTTTTAGAAAATCCAATGCTTCGAGGTCTTCAGGTCACTATAGATTCCAGAAACTTCCCCGATCAAGCGATGACCACAGTGGGCGACATATTCTTTACACGTATGCTTCAAGCTTCTGATTTAGATGGAGTGAATGAATGCACAAAAAAATACGAGGACTCATTAACTAGACCACTGAATGATGATAATGGCACGCCATTAGCTAGAACATGGAAAGACCAAACTTCATTCTTATGCACTATTCCAGTTCAACGTGATGGAGCGGGTATATTCTTTGATGGATTAGAAACTTTCAACTCACAAGTTACAGTACAAGTGAAAGCTTATCCAATCATTCAGGGTGAAAATGACACTTACTGTTCAAAGGTGACAAATCCTCCTCAGGTTTGGTTTACTAGGACTACATATTGGACATGGACACCGGACGAAGGTTTGAAATATCATCCAACAGGTACACCACCACAGTATAGAAGTTCATATGATGAAATATTGATGAATAGAAATGTTTAAAATTATAAATTTATTTTTGATTAAATGGATTTAAATTCTGAAGAATTAGCGGGAGTATATAATACATACGTAGATGATATGATTAATGAAGCATTGAGTGATAATAGAAATGCTCTATCTAAGGAAAAATTAATGAAAATTCCATATTCTGAATGTTACTTAAATTCAATCACTGCAGCAATTGGTAAACAAATAAAGGTAAAACATTAACGATATTAAAACAAATTATCATTATTGCTAACACTTCCCCTATTCACATGCGTTAATTTATATCAACCGTTCAGGTTCACCTTCAGATGATACATTTGAATCTTTAAAGCATTTAATCAAAATTCCAATTATTTATTTATCACAAGAAGAAGCAGAAGATTATTTAAAAAACTTTTTAATGTATAAAGAATTATATAATACAATCAAGAAGCAAGGATTAGAGGATAAAATTATTGATAAACAACGGGATGAATTATTTGAAACACTTTCTATTTCAAATTTTGATAGAGAATTTTTGCATTCACTCATTTTTCTAGATGATGCAGTGAAATCAAAACTAATAACAAATGAGAAATCATATTTTAATCAGTTATTAACTCAATGTCGACACATTCAGTGTTCATTCTTTATGGCTGTTCAATACTTCAAAGCATTAAGCACAAACATTAAATCAGATCTATCAACACTTTTCATTTTCAGTGGGTTTAGTCGTCAACAGTTGAACGTTATGCTTTATCAAGTGAATTTACCAATGAGCATTAATGAACTTTACACACAATATCAGCAATTAGGTGAACATGGAAAAATAATAGTTGATTTAAATAAAGGAAGTGTTAAATTTGATTAACTTTTTATAATTAATTTTTATTTTTTTATTTATAATTAAACATGACAGAAAATGGCAAATCTTCTACAGGTTCCATTAAAACAAGGAACAAACAAAAAGGGTGCATATAATAGAACTATGAAAGTTCCTGATGGAATGAAAGAATTAGTTCATATTGTTGCTGGTCTTCAAAAAGATGTTAAACAAATGAGAAACGTTTTAACATTACCAGAAGCTCAAGCATATGCCAAACGTCATGGTCCAAATTGGGAAGCACACGAAGCAGACATTACGGGTCCAAATGGAAAACCTGATGGTATAAATGAAGTTTTCGTTACTGATGGTCAAGGTAATATTAAAGTCATAAATGGTTATAAATTAACTATATCTGATTATCCTAAACGTAAAGCATATAATGAACGTTATCCTATGCAATTTGATGAAAATGGAAAAGCTGTTAAACAATACATTGGAGAAGGTGAAAATGGTCCAATTAATTCATACCGTGGTAATCCATATTCTTATTTCAATGAAGAATTAAATGCTGTTGAAGAGGGACCGGATGGATTACCACGATATTCTAACCAGTTTGATGGTCAATATGCAAATATTAGACCTGAAATTTCAGCTAAGAAATTCTTTAAAGTTGCTTTATTCGATCCAGTTTTCGCAAATGTTAAAGATGAACTTAAACAGCAATTCCAACCAATTATAGTAGCAAGAATTGCATCAGGTGCTTTATCTCAAGCATTCAAAGATTTAATTAAGAAACCATTATATCAGCAACGTGGTTTAACTTATGATTTAGTTAAGGAATCAGATAAAAGAAAATTTGAGAAATCAGATGATTATAAGAATGCAATTAATGAATATATTAGGTCTATTAATTACGATGAAACAGCTAAAAATCAACTTCATGAACAAATACAGGGAATAATAGTTAGTATACATATCAAGGGTACGGCGGCACTGCGCGCCTCCTTACCCATTATATGTGAATTTGACACTTTACAAAACCGTTAACGTATATTTTACAACACTAACGACTTCACTAACGAATTCACTAATGTTTTCACAAACGACTTCACTAATGTAAAAATAAACGTTCTCACTTACAAAAGTATTGCAACTCCTCCCATTGCTGTGCTTCATATAACAGCTCATAATCTTCTGACTCACTTTCTTCTTCATATAGGTCAAAATCACTGTCAAAATAAATGTATGTAAGTTTTGACAAAGCTAATGAAACACGCTTACCGTTTGTATCGTATGCTTGTATAAACTTTCCATTCTTCATTCCTTCATAAACGCTCAAACTAACTTTACCCTTTCTCCCTCGTATCTGATAGAATGTATTTTCACGAGGAACGAAGAACAAGTTCTTGAACTCATGACCGTTGTAGTTTGTTATCTCAATAGTTTTCGTCATTTATATAAAAATAAAATAAAAAATAAACTTAAAAATTAATGATATCACCACCCTCACACGTATGAAAACATAGCGCAAAAATAAATTTAGGTGAAGTGGTGAGATCTCACCTCTTTTTTCACCCGGTTTTTCACCCTGTTGAATTCATTGCTTTATAACTCTCTTCCTTTATCCAACTCTTCTAGCTTCTTCTTAAGTTCAGCAATGTTGTCCTCATGAAGTTTAATCTTTCTCAAAATTCCTTCTTTATCTAATGGTTGCATTATCTTTCTAAACTGAACTCTACCATCCTTCATAGTATGCATGTAAAAACCTTCTGGAATAGTTCCTGATTTAATGTATTCTACCAAAAACTTTTGTTTCATTGCTTCAGTGACTTTAGTCGTCATTTCAATCAAATAAAAATTTTAATATTAAATAAA